ATTTTTGATTTTTGTTTGAGATTAAAGTAAAGCATTCCCACAACATCTTGTTGAGGGCCAGGGGTGTCATGAAAGTTAAGACTCCTCAATTTGTGCCAAACGGCATGATTGTGGCAATGTAGCCTTTGTTCTTTGGCTGCCTGGAAATGGCTGCTTTTTTTTTCCTAGGCAAGTTGGTACCCATTGATCTGAAGCTAGATTTTAGCCCACAGTCTCCTCAAATAAATCAAACAAAATGTATACGAGCATGTAATGGGCTGTGGATTGTCACACCAATCCACTGACATTGCTACAGTTTGTGTCTTGATAATGCTAGTTTGAGAAATTGGCATTTGCATTTGATTTAAGGACTGTTCTCACTGCATTAAAAAAATTCAGATGTAAATTCGGAGATCCAAACAAGAACCTTATTGCCAAATTTTTCGTTAGTAAATAAATTCCATCAATCAGGTTCTCATTTGCATCAGCAAATTTTTTACATGCTGTGAAACTGGTACCTTGTGTAATGGCGAGTCATCTGTTATCCTTTTACGGTAATGATCATGATGGTTAATAAAAGTTTATATATTCTTTAATATGGATACTCCATTGATGCTTTTTTTACTCTTTATTTTTTTCTTTCTGCTGTTAAAGCCAAACGTTCTTCAGTAACTTATTGTTGAGCTTATTAATGATGGCATTGTTAGACTTTGTATGGAAAAAAATTGCATATCATTTCAGCAAAAGCATGAACATCTTAAGTTGTTTGACTGTTGAATTAATTACATCTCATCTATAAAGTGTTCTTGCATGTAGATTTTAGTTTATGCTTGCTACAGCTACTTGTGAATAGTCTTTAAATTATGTTTTCCTGCATTAGAAGTTTCTTGGAAGTTTTTATGAAACTGTAGTTTGCCTCTGAATTCTTTTTTCTTATAAATAATACAATGAACTGAATGTTTGATTTTGAAGTGCATGATATTAGTGGACTATGAACCACCCTAATATGTTTTTTTTTGTTAAATTCTTGTCTCTCTTAGTTTTTATTATATATTTTCATTACATAGTTTATAAGAAGAGAGCAAATATATTTTCTAATATTGCAGTATTTCTCGTAATTTTTCTTCCTAAAGTTTATTGAAATATGAAATAATATTTGACTCATCTGCACTTCTGTCATTTATATTCTCTCTCATTGTTCAGTCATAAATGAATAATTTAACAATAATTTGTTAGAAGGATTCTTTTCTTATTTGTTGCTTTGTAATGAATGCGCTCTGAAACTCTTGCTAACTGGAATATTTTGTCTTGTCCGCTGGATTAGCGATTTCGTATAGCGTGTTTACCTTAGAATTCATTCATCAAATGCTTCATGGTTTTTTTTTTTTTTTTTTTTTTTTTACTTAAGCTTTTATGCGAGCTTCAGGGTGCATAGTTCCTTATTCCAGCTATTTTGGAAGTTCAAGTATGTGCTAGGTCTGTTTTTATTTTAAAGTTTTTAATAAATAGTTTATTTTGGCAATTTAGTTTTATTTCATTATTTGATGGCTCATGTTAGTTTAATTAATGTTAGTTTCCCCCACATTTTGGTGCGTCGAGTCGGAGCCATCGAAATAAAATTTTAGTTAGGGCTTTGGATTACTTTTCTTGAGCTTTCAATATGCCAAAATTATTTGAAGAGTTACTTCAGCTGAAAAAAGTAGTGAAAAGTAAAGTTAATAGGGTAACTAATTCTATCTCTGACTTGTTGCAAGATACTGAACTTAGCTGCACATTCAGATTTTTGTTTACGCCAAATAAAAGAACTCAATTTTGAAGTTTCGAATCTTTTCAAAGACATCTTAGTTGTTTGCTACAAGGAAAATTATTTAGATTACAAAACTAAGTTTTTCGACTTACTGAATAAATTAGATAGTTTTGAATTGTCTTTAAAGAAACAAAGTAGTAATTTGGCCGAAAATAGTAATTTGACAAACGCACAATCTCAAACTTCGGTTGTAGCTGAAACTCCAAAGGCTTACATCAATCTTCGAAAACTGAACTTACATACTTTCTCAGGTGATTTATTTTCATGGATATCATTTCGAGATTTATTTTCAGCTACTGTACGCAATAATGAATTATTATCAAATTCTCAAAAATTGCAATATTTGAAATTATCAGTTAAGGCGAAGCACTGTGTTAAAAAAAAGTGAAACCTTTATATTCTACCTTTTTTGAAAGATAATGTGCTGGCTGATGATACTCTTATCACTGAAAGTTTGTTAAGAACAGTTAGTATCAAGAAAATTATAAATTTAACCTAAAACCCAAGTATTACCAGTATTAGTATTACCAGTTACAAGACTGGTATTACAACCTGTTAAGCAGGTTCTAAAAAAACGAAGCTTTCAATAACTACTAACGGCACATTTCCAGGTTGGAACTATCCTCCACCTGTTTTAAGGGATAAAAATTTTTCTGAATAAAAAATGGTTTTACTGATCAAATTCATTTTTGTATCAAATTTCGTAATTTAAATTATCTTCTACTAAAATTACTATATTTAATGTTGAAGTTTGTTTTTCAAACCATGCAGATAGTAATTTATTACTTTAAAGATGATTTTTTTTAACCTTCTTCTTTTTCTTTAACCTTCTTTTTTTTAACCACTCCAGAGAAAATATGCAAGTTCTTTAACAAAATGCTAACGACAGTAGTAGAAGACGGTACACTTACCAAAAAAACAAAAAAAGACGACAGATAAATAATAAATAAGTCTTAATATTTTTATTATTATACACTTCTATAACCATGTCTTTAAGTTATTGAAAATATATGCCTAGTGACCAGGAAATTTTATATTATTTTTTATCCGAATTATCATGTTTTATAAAGTCAGAACAGATGTGTTGGTCTAAATTGGGGTAACCTTATTTTTAGCCACCCTGTACATGCAAAAGATAGATGTAAAGCATATTCTGAGTCACAGTATGAATTCAATAGGACTATTCAAATGTACAAGTAAAAAAACAAAACAAATACTTTTAAATTTAATTATTAGTTCTAAATCATTATTTATTCCTTACAAACTAATTCACGTGCTTATTAATTAAAAAAAAAAAAAACTTTTCCACCTCTAAGAAAGTTTTGTTTCTCTGTTTCAAAATAGTTTTTTTTCTCCATTGAAATAGCTTTTTCTTTGCTTTAAAATAATATTTTTCAATTCTAAAATGGACTGTTTTGCTGTCTAGAAAAAATCACACTTCTTCAAAATGATGTCATTTTGTCCCATCACTGATGTAAAGCGAAAGTCTAGCATGATACCGATATCCCAACTTGCTTTACCAAAACATGAAACATACAACAAAAAATGAGGGATAATGCTTGTTTCTAAATTTTTTTTAGTTCCAATTGAAAAGAATTGCCTTTGAATTAATCTAAAACATGATCTCGGTTCATCCACTTTCCAACTTCATTTCAAGTGTGTTAAATGGCACTTTAGTACAAATTTCAATCATTTTCTGATCACCGAAATTATCCCAAAGCAAAATTTTAACCACTTTCCTACGTATACAAAATAATAGATATAAAATTAAAATGCAAAAAAACAATAATAAAAAGGATTTTTAAACCACATCTATTAAGTTTACTAAAAAAGGTAAAATATATATTTTTGTCACACCTAAAATAAAAAGTATGAGGTGCTTCCTCCTGATATTTTTCCCTTTTTCTTAAGTACCTCTGCATTTTTTGTTTAAACTTGAAACAAAAGTTTAAATTTCGCTTTTGACAAATATCAGGCTATTAAAATCTGTAGATTCTTTACAAGTTTAGTACAGTACAGAACCCGTTATCCGGAAATCAGAAAACCGGAAAACCAAAAAACCGGAACGAAATTCGATAAATTTTCCCGCCATTTTTTTTTAAAAAAATTTTTTTCCTCATAAGATTTTAGGATTTTTCTTTCTTTTTTTGAAAGATGTTTACCTTACCATCATTTTGGAAATAATCATTAGTGTATTACTTCATCGTTTTTTCTTCTTTTTAAGATTATTTCCAAAAAAAAATTTTTTTTTGTTGGGTTTAACAATAAAAAAACGGCTTTTTGTAGCGATTCAGAAAACCGGAAAAATCAGTTATCCGGAATAGCGATGGTCCCGATCGTTCCGGATAATCGGTTCCCTACTGTACTATCCTTTTCTCATCACCCTTTATTTCCTAAGTTCTTCATTCTACCAAAAACCTTCAATTGCCATACTTTCCAGTGCATAAATCAACTTTTTTGAGCCCCTAAATTTCAAAGAACGGGTTGACTGATAATACGTTTGGACGCAAATATTTTTGTTTTCTAACACAAAAAATGCTTAGCTTAAAAAATTAATCAATATAGTTAAAAACAAATACAAATCTCTAAGATAATGCAAACACATAAAAATATTGTAACACAAAACTTTTATGTAACAAAAATAAAATTTTTACACCATGCATCATTTCAGTTACCACACTATTAATTTGAATTATACTTTGGTTATAAATGGGTTATACTTTGTTTGCAATATCCTAATAAAAACATAAATTACATTGCAGAGTAAAAGGTGGTCGTAAGACATCTAGTTTTACAACAAATGTGACTAATACACTTAATAAGGTCAAAATGCATATTTTCACGATAAAAATAGGAATCGACTTACGCTCTGGAAAGTACAAATGTGTATTTAAAGAGAATGTTTTGCAGTTATTAGGTTATTTATGGAAATTTTAGAAAAAGGCAATTAAAAAAATAATGTTTTGGGCAAAACCCTCAATCTTTTTAATAGGGATCTTTTTATTGTTTTTATTTGTATGGTATTCAAAATACCTCTACAATTCTGCACTTAATTTTTTTATCTACATTTTTGTTTGTCGCTGGAATATAAATTTTATTTATTAAGAATCCATGTTTTCATATACTTTCTAACTAGCAACCTTGCTTTATTTTTATAACATATTTAGATAAATTTGTTTTTATCATGTTATAAATTATTTTGAAATATATTTAGGCTTGACCAACTCTTCAAGTGAAAATTCAAGACTTTTGGATGAACTAAGTGTTGCAAATCAGCTTATGGCCTTAGCAGAAAGTAAAATATTTTTAATATACTGAATTTTATATAAAATTCTTTAAACCCACTTGTGGTGATCCAAAAATAAAAAAAAAGAATATCACCCTAAATAATTTTTGTTCCAATGATCAGATTTTAATATTCTGAATGGTTCTCCGGTTAGACTTTTATTATGCTAATTAATTAGTGCTAATTATGATTTACTTGCAAAATAATCCATAAAATATACTTTCTTAGAATATGCATTATTTTTTGTTGTTGTGGGATATGAGATCTTGATCTGTAATTTACATAGGGTTGGGGTAGTCAGAATCTGGAATAGTGGCCACCATAGTAAGCTGAAGAAAGTTTTGTTTCCTAAATGGTTATTTATTTATTTTAAGCCTTTCATCTTAATAAGCAGTGGCATAATATCACAGTTATGCCTCTGTTCCAAGAATCTTTCCACTATAAGACATTTTTACAATTCTAAAATCTAATATTTTGAACTGGGAGACCAGCCACAAGATGTTCTAATTTGTTGTTTCAAAATTTTTAGAACTTATTAATGGAATATATAAAAGAAGAAGAAGAAAAAAACATCTGATTAATAATTTTTTTCTATGATGAAATCCTATGATGATTATTGTCTTGTTATTTAGTAATTTAGAAGATGAAATTAAACCTTTTATGATGGAGATATGTTGTTCCAAAAACTTGAATTGATCTTTTAAATTCAAAAATAACACATCAAAGTTCATTAATACATTTCTTTAAATTTTGTATGGAAGGGTTATTTACAAATTCATTCTTTTTTAAATATTTTGCTGCATTTGAAGTTGATGAACCAAATAATTTCAAAATGTTAATTTCTTGTTAAAAAAAATTTTATTAATATTATAATTTTTCAAATGAAATATTAAATCTTCAGATTTTTTTGTAAGAAATGGTTGAATCGATAATTCAAAGAGTAATAAAATTTTGAAACTTGAAGTGAAGTGGCTATATAGTCGACACTCAATATAATGACCTTAGTGGCACAGATGAAAACAAACCTTATAATAAGGGGCCATTGTGTCGTGAAAACAAAACTGGAGCAAGTTACTTATAATTCATAATTACTGTACTTATTTCTCGAAAAACATGCTATACATTAAAAAAAAATTATAAAACTGAATAATTGACATTAACACAGTTTTTTTTTATCTTAATGAAGTGCAAGTAATAATATAATACATTAAACATTAAATATACATTTAATTTTTTACAAAGGACATCTGTTAGAATTACACATAATTTTTAGTAAGTCATTTGGTGGTTTTTCTAAATTTTGAAAATTTCTTTTACACAAACAATAGCATTTAATTGGTACAACTTGTTCTCCTGTCTTTAGAATTATATCACAGTTTTTTACTCTTTTAAGCATAGTGCTTTCCTGGATTTTAAATATTTTAGGCAATTTGTGGTTTTGATGGAATTCTTCTATTCGCATCCTTTAAATTTTTAATTTCTGCTATAAGCATATAGCATTAATCAGTTTACTAGCAGCCAATTCTTTTAAAAATCATTATACATCCAGAGAACTGTTACAACACTTCACAAATAGAGAAAATGCAATTTTCAAACAAGAAAAAATCTTCTTGGCACTGATAATTTCTTTGAAAGTGGATAAAATTAGCTTGAAAAAACTGTTAAGATATAATTAAATTTTAGCACAAATTTCTAAATATTACTGCAGCATAACTTGATATAAAAATGTCTCAATAAGCCTAATTTTGTTTTTTTTTTTTAAAAAAAAAGCATTAAAAATTATAAAATGATTCTGAAGCTGTACAATTGTTCTCTTTTCTCTCTCTTTTTTTGAAAAAAAAATTTAATATATTTTAAGAAGTTTTTGGATTACAAATTATTTTACTTTTTAGATGAGCAAAATTAGATAGCTATTTTTGACATACTCTTTATGTAGGTCTTAATGAGGCAAGATCTACAATGCAAAGGCATTGTAGTTCTTAGGGTAGGGATAGGCTTCACAGTAGAGTATTTATTCAGAAGTCAGTACTTTTTATTTAAGTTATCTAACTTACACAGTTTCTAAAATTACGTTTATACTAATTATTGTTTGAATATTAAATTCTAAAATAATTCATACTAAATATGTATACATATATTGANGAGCATATATATATATATATGCACACACAGTGGAAATTCGCGTATCCGGAATCGGTGGGACTTCCGGATATTATATTTTTCCTTATATTACTGCAAGGTAACCCCCTAGGTAAACAAAACAATCTAATAAACAATCTGAATCTGAGAAGTAAAAGTACTTTTCAGGCAATAATGTTTTAGTATTAGAATTATATCTAATCCAACAAAAGCGAAATATTAGGAAAAAAAAATTATTGCTCAAAATATAGAAAAGGAGAAAAAATGTGACAGTTATGAAAATATTAATTGCTCTAGAATGATTCAGGCAAGAAGGGGAAATTCCCGTCATTCATTAAGGTGGGTAGGTGAAGGAGAAAAATTCATTTCCTCCTTATTTGTCATTCAAGTTGAGAGCGAGGAAGTGACAAATTCTTATTTTCTCTCTGATCATCGGCTATCAATCAAGCATAAAGGCGCGACATGCTGATTGGGTTCTCTTTATTTTTTCATGTGTGACTGAAAGTGACTCCCCCACCACGTAAATGTTTGCTGCTTTTACCCTTTTTCACAGTATTTTTTCTTTCCCTAACACTCTAATAAAAAGGTTCCAGGAAATGCCTCTTTTTCTAGCCAACTGTATAGGAAAAAAGGGGAGAGGGGACTCAGTTGTGCTCTTTTGAAAACAAATCTCCCTCCTTTCTTGCATTCCAGAGGAGGAGTGTCACTAACGGTCACTCACTTGAAGGTCTTGGTAGATCTTCTCTTCCTCTTTCTGGTGACTTATGGGTAAAATGCGTATGTCCGCTTTATGGAGAATGAACATAGTGATTTCTTCATAGAAGACTCCCGGGGAATTAAAAATATGTCCGTATTGAGAGGCGTCTGTTTTGCAGAAATGTCCATAACAGGAGATTTCACTGTATTTAAATAAGGGGTAAGAAGAAGTCAAAATGTCAATGTTGGGCAATAATGGTTAGCAATTGCAATTAGCTTAAAAGAAGATCAAGCCAAGTGAAATTTTATTTAATTTGTGAAAATTGGTTTTAGAATTATAACAAAACATCAAGAAACTATTTGCCAATCATCTATTTCCAAAGAAAACTTTCTTCTTCAAATACTTGGCAGAGTAAAACAATTCTTTATAATTTACAATTTACCATAATATGGTCTTAAATCTAGTGTTTTCAAAATATTTAAAATTTTCTTTTGCTGAGGAGGAAGTAATATAAAATTTTCATTTTGGATTTTCAGGAACTGAATTTAAATATTCCATTTTTTCCGCCATTTGAATGATCACTTAGTTATTCCCATAAGTCGGTTTAATATTTCGTAATAGAAAGAAAAAATTTACATCAACTATGTTTCTCCAAAGGCACCATGGGAGCCTTTCATTCGAATTTTGAATCTTTCATTCAGGAGGTGTTTGGTTCAAATCTGTGGCCGAAATTTTCTTTTGTTTTTCTTTTTTTCCAATTCTTGTCAATTCTCTAATTTTATTTGAGGATTTGAATATGTGTAGTAAGGGTGTCTAATTATCAAAAATTTCGCCTATAAAGAATTGAAAATTTATGTTATCTGAGGAGGAAGTACTGAGCATAATATAACCCCTAAATGTGTATTTCTTTTCACAAATGCAATTAATAATACATGGAATGTATAAAGAAATTATACTGTGTCAGTTAATGATTGCAGATACGAAAATATTTGTTGTACAAGTCATTTTCTTTGTGTTCAATAAGTTTTCATCAGAAATATTGAAGGTTTAATATTTAGATATGCCTTTAAAATATCAGGATGTGATGAGTATCATCAAGATAATTTTTATAATACTATTCCAAATCTATATTTTCATTTCAAGTGAATAATTGCTGCAAATGTTCTAGCAAAGAATTTATAAAACATGCTCATTGTCAGCTAATTTGTATAAATTATGTATATATTGTTATATACATAATAACAATATATTATGTATATATTATATTATGTATTTGTATACATTGCTTTATTATGTATTTGTATATATTGCTATATTATGTATTTGTATATATTGTCATATTATGTATTTGTATATATTGTTAACAATGTATTATTATAATAAAATGTAATTAAAAATTGATAAATTTAAAAATTTAAAATTTTATTCAAACAGATAAATATGTGACAAAAGTTATTCAGGGTGGTGTTTTGCAGAACTTTACTTTTTATTTTAAAGTTTTGACTACTTTTTTTATTTATAAAATCAGTTTGTCATAATATTTAGATTAAAATGGATTTGATCCTGCACTGAAATTTTAAACTTTGTTTTTTTTTTTGCTTTAATTAACAAGTTATAACTCATCAGTAAACAAAGTTTGTTATGATGGAGGCAAAAAGCTTTACTAGTTGGATTCATTGTTTTCAAACTATTTGAGAATGCAGACATCTTATGAAAAATAAAACATAATTAAATGTTTTACATTATCAAATTTTTTTATGATGAATTCAGGGGTCATACACTTATTTATTATTTTCAGCAAGTGCAGTAACAAATCAAATAAGGTTGAATTTTGTACCATTATTAATTCATTAAGGAAGTCTTTAACTAGATTACAAATTTAGATAAATTTTGCTTTTCGGGAATATTAACTAATTAATAACAGTTATTTTTTTATGTAACAGCTATAAAATTGTATCTTAACCTTATACTATTATAAGTTATTCAGTATTCCATTTAATAAAAGTTTACTGAAAGCTAATAAAACTTTCTGTTGTAAATAAAGTTATTCTGAAATTAAAAATGGAATTTAGAGTTGAAGGCTGTTTTATTGTTCACTCTTTATCTATGGCCTGCGTTGTCGGGTCTTGGGAAAACAAAAGTAAAGAAAAATGAAATTTATTTCTGTCTCAGAAATTTTATTATTTTTAATTAAATAATTCAGAAATTTCTGACACAGAAGAAGAAATGAAATAAAGCTAAGTAAATCTTAAGAGGAACAAGTGTTAGCAGCTGTATCAGAATTGGCTGAAGCTCTATCTTTAATCATTCAATGCCTCAGGGTTTGAACAACTGTAACCTAATATTTCTTCTATTTATAAAATGTACTGACATTTTTTTTATATCATAAGCAGATATACTGGTTGAATTAGGTTATTTAAAAATACTTTTAGATTATTTCACGAACTAGTTTTGTAATAGTCCTTAAAGTATACCATGGTTTTTGCGAATTTTGATAAGAAAATTCATAATATATGTATGTAATATAATTCTTGATATGTTTTATGAATATCTGACATCCATAAGTATCCCACTTTTTGCCTACCCTGTGTCATCTACATGACATACAGTATAAAGAATTCTCTCTTCTACAATATAAATATTTTTATGGTCCTACTATATTGAATTAGAAATAATTTCATGACACTTATTTTCAAATTTCATTTGTTGATATTTAACGAAATGTTTTTATGTCCTTGTTATAATACAAATTTTTGGCCTAATAATTAGGGCATTTTTTAGTTAGTAAACTTTTACCTTTCCTTTCTTTTTGTATGCTTATTACTGCTTTTTTGTTTTTGACCATTTTCTTATTGTTAATTTATAATTGAAAGAGTTTTTTAAATTTGTTTTGTTTGACATAAAAATACTTTTTACTATGACCTGAATATTGAGAAACAAAATGGCTGTTGTGTTCCTGCCTAGTTTATCAAAATTGTTATTTCCATTAGTATACATTCTAAATATAAATCAAAAGGAAATCATTTGTTTAGAATTTCATATGTGATAAGTTTTTGCAAAAAAGATAAGATTTAAACTTGATAAGTATATAAATTATTTCATAAAATACAAACAAATGACTATAAATTGCAGAGATGATTGTGCCCTGGAAAAATCCGGATTTTTCGCTAACTGCGATTCGGAAGTTTCCAGAAATCCAAGGTTCGGAAGTTTCAAAAAATCATTGATCACATTTATGTATAAGAATTCTTGTATATTTTATTTAAAAATATTAGAACTCGAATTTATACTTGACATCTTTTTCATTTGTAAATGTTGTTTCTAGTAGAATAATAAATGTGATTAGAGATGTAAGTAAACTTATACAAAATTATTCATTTAAATTATGCTGCATTTATATATAATTTATTTAGAATTTCATGTTTTGAAAATATTAATGATTTAAATTTATAAAGACATAATTTTTTGAAATTCGTCATTAATGATTTTACTCAAGAAATTTTCAGGATTTTTTAGTTGGGCTCACAATCACCCCTGAAATTGTGAATTATATCTATATTTTTATTTTACTGTTTTTTATTTTGAACTAAATAAACATTTTTGTTTAATTAAAAAAAAGCTGTCATTAAAGGGTTAGATACAGACCTGTTCTGGGTGTAAGAGAAATTTTTTATATAAATCATTTAATTGTTTCCATTATTTATCTTTTAATTGATCTAATTTTAAAATATTTTTTCTAGCCCCTGAATTATTTACTAGGCCTGAATTAAGTTCAATCAAATCCATTGTTGAACCTGAAATAACTTTGCAAACTGAAGACATATATTTAGAAAAAAAATGTGTCATTGTAAGTAGTTTCTTTAAGTTTGAGAAGTAATAAAAAAGTTTCTTTTCAAAAATATGTATGTTATACTTTGAAAATATGTATGCAATAATAATTTGTTCTGATATAATTCAAATTAGAGATATAAAGAGTGATTTTTAATATCTTGCTCTTGAAGTAATTTTTAATAACATCTAACATCTGGCCCTGTCATGTTTAAAATAAAAATAGCTTAACTACAAAAAATTTGCAAAAATTCTGACTGTCTAAAAAAATGACTTCCGTGGCAATCACTTAAATGTTCAACAAAACAGATACTATATTTAGCCTTCAAAGCATTAGTTCTGGCTCTTTCTCAACTTTAAGTTAATAGGTGACTTCTAAGAAAAATAGTTTTCCTCATGTTTTTCAAGTCTAAAATTGAAAATTCTGTGAATTCAGCCAGGAAAATTGTCTAAAATTTATCCCCAAGTCATGATGCTATGATATAAAGTTTATTATGTGACGCTAAATATCTTTCACTTATGTGTTCTTGTCGGCGTTTGCCAAAACCTGTTTTTTTTATTTTTAAATCCAGTTATTTTTTAATGAAAAAACCTAATTTTGCCATGGAATAAGTGGGTTTTTTCATTTTATTTATTAATTTTTTATATATTTTTATTTATTTATTTTTTCATTAAAGGGCTCAGTTTGGTCTTGAGATAAGTGAATTTTTTCAAATATATCCTACATGCATTCTATAGACTAAATATAAGAATAAGTTGTAGTATATACTGAAAAAGTATTGCTTGATTACTAACAAAGGCATTAATAAATGAAATAGTTATTAGAATAATTATTTTAGTAATTTTTCTTCCTTCAAAATGTATTATGACTTGCATAATGATGAAGTTACTGTTATGATTCTTTTTAAAATATAAAGTATAATATGTTTTGTGATTAATTTTAAATTATAAATAAAAACATAATTTGCTTTAAAGTTAATAAGTGGAATTTTTAGAAGCATTGTATACGTTAATGAAGTAAAACACATCTTTTTGTAGATCATAGTATGTTCATTTGTATTTTTCAATGTATGAATTCATTATATGTCTTACATGTAAATCAATTATCAACTTTTATCTTTACGTTTTGCTTTTTAAAATGAAAGAAAAAAGATAAAAAATTCAAAATTTTGTTTTCTAAGCATTCCAAGTACAGTAATTTTCAGTAAAAAGGCCACACAGTAGTACACACTGCACCCTCAAAAACATATCGGAAATTTTTTATATTCCTCGCTTTGCCCACACTGCTGTATATGTTGCACTTCCAATTTTATCCATAATAGATTTTAGCCACTATTAAGGAGAAAACAGGCATTTTAAGCACAAAAAAGAAAGAAAACAAGTTTTGGCAATGGTGTATCACGTATGAAAGTAAACCCAAAAACTTTCTAACGTAAAATGTGTGAACTCAAGATTCCACATGCAACTTCAGAAATTAAATGTAAAAAGAAAGTCGAAACTGCTAACTGGCTGCAGTTGCATAGATAGAAATGGAGGCAAAGCTTCATGCGTTGATCATGTGACGCTGGTGACTTTGTCAATAAAAAAAACAAGAATTTTTATATTCTGTTACTCTTTTCTAGACTAGCATGCTTTGTCCAGCCATCCACTTCTAAGAACAAATCTCTTGAAAGGGGGATGGAAGCTAAACAACACATAAAATTGGCGAGAAATTTTTTTCTTCTCGACAAATATGCTTTATCCACTCTCGAGAACAATCTCTTGCAGATGTGAATTTAAGTTTCAATTCAAGCTTCGTGCCTTTTCATCGCCGTTAGATTTTTTAATTTTTACTTTTCGAGATTGTTTTTAATCCGGAATACATTTCTTCGGGATCTCCATAGCACAAACAAGCGTTCAATTATTCTCAAGTTGTAAATTGGATTCTGTGGAACATTCGTAATTGTTGTCATACAGTTCATCGTCAATTAAAAACATACCTTACCCTGCTATATTTTAATCGCATTTAATCATATTTTAATCTCATTTTTAACTAATATTTTTTAGTTAAAAATAAGAAAAATATACTATTTTCTGAGCAATCCATCAAAGGTATTCAGCAATCCATCAGATCCATCTATGGTAATCCATTTTCTTTGTTCATTATTTTCAAACATTTTTTGATTAAATCCACATTGATGGCCGAGGTATAGTATGAAGCCCGCAGAAAAATCAAATCATTGTATAGGCCGCACTGGTGAATACACTGCACATCAATATGATTTATCTTTGAAATACAGGTAGACTTTGACGTGTGTAATGGAAATTACTGTATGTAAGTTTTTAATCATCATGCAGAAATACTCATTCAATAATGATAATAATTATATACAAATGAACATATCCTGATGGTTCGCTCCTCGGGCCGGGCAAGGTTGACTCAGCCTTTCATCCCTTCAGTGGGTCAATAAATGAGTACCAAGCATGCTTGAGAACTAAGCACTGGGGGTTCTGCGTTCGGCTGACCACCTGACCGGAACATCTGCTCGTGCACCCCAGAGCCCAAGGTCAAGAAAACTGAGATGGGCACAGTAGGCCTTGGCCCTCTTGGGCTGTCGCGTCGCTGAGTTTTAGAACATATCCTGAAGAACCTATCTCTACAGTATGCGGGTACATTCCATTAATAAATAATTTCATTATATGTTTACTAAATATTATTCAATCTATGTCTTCCATAATTAACAAATTTTTACCCAATAAAATATTAGCAAAGTAAAATAAGATTGAAAGATGTTAAATTAATTCACATTTGGTACTCGTTAAAATGTAAAATATAAACCTTATCTGAAGTGCCATGACAATGTCATTAAATTAAAAATTTAAAATATCAGAAAATCTCTTTATTTCTTTTAATGAAATATTTAAATATAATATTGCTGGATTCTCAAAGCAATCTTGAACTCAAATAATGTCCCTGATAAAATCGTTTTTAGGTTTTTGTTAAATAATATAATGATAAATTTGCACTTATCCAAATTTAATATTTTTAAACTGTTTTTTTAATAATTTGTTATCTTTAGTTTTCTTATTGTATCATTAGTTTATGATATGTTTTATAGTAGGAGAAAAAAGATTAACAGTCATATAAATTAACATTTCAAGTATTATTAGTTTTGTGAGAATAGTGACGGTTAAAGCTGCCACTGGTGATTGAACTTCAGTTTTTATTACTCTATAATATGAGACTCTTGCAATTGTCCCATCTGCCGATGCAGTAATCTGGCCCTTTAGAAACCATCGTCCCCACTTTGCTACCACAATTATTTTACTGATTACTCATATCATCAACAGTTAACTTTGCTTTTTATTGCAATAGCTATAAAACTAACTTTTTTGTACCTTATTTTTAATGTTGATCCAAAATTTAAACAAAGTAAGATATGTTGTTCATCCTCTGAGGTTGTAACTACAAAAAGTAAAATCATATTATTCAAAATCTTAATTATCCTGTTAATATTTTCTTTAAACTAAATTATGTGGTGCATTTAAAAGATCTTCGACATAAAATAACTCAAAAACTTATGTTCTCATTTTTAATTCATGTTAAGTGCCATACCTCCTGCTTACTATTGCTTGCCAACCCTTGGAATTGCTTGTATTGTTTTTTTTTTAAGGTAGCTTTTTTCCAGGGCTAAAGAGTTTAGAAGGGCTGGTTCACTCCTTTGAGGAAACTCTCGCCGCGCCAATCCTCCGATTTTCTCTAGTGACATCACTTTGGCGCAAAGCTCGCACTTTTACTTCAAGAACAGAGCGTTCGGCCTTACTAGTTCTAACTAATATTGGAGCATTTCTTTTTGTGAAATATTCTTAGACATATGTTATTTCCTATAATGACTTTCCTCAGCTTTTGCAGTGAATTTACAAAAATTTAAAACTATTAATGAATTGCCAGTTTGCACGATTGCAACTTGCAAAAATTCTGATAGAAAAACAAGAGGAAAAATATAATTTTCCGCATGTTCCCTAAAGTAAATGATCAACTATGTAAAGAATGGCTTCCGAAATGACACAGTTAAAATAAAACAGCAGTATGTTTATTCTATCGTTAAGAACTTTTATAAAAATTCATTATCTAAATAGAAACTGCCTCGTTACATCAAAAAGAAAGGCAGGTGAAAAAATTAAAAAATGGATAAAATCAAAGATCACATAATAAAAAGTATAAATAAAATATATAGTATATAGTTGAAATTCTCTTAATTTCATAACATATTTTTTATTGTAGTTATTCTAAATATTTATGATTTTTTAAAAAATTATATTCTCTTGAATTTAAATATCTATAAATTATATCGTCTTAAATTTAAAAATCTATAAACAATTGTAAAATTTCTAATGTCATTATGAACCTAAATTATTATTTTGTTTCAGTAATTAGCGTTTAAGGTTGATGTTTCCTAATGATTAAGTATGAACAAATTGCTATTAACGGCATATTTTAAAATCAGGGATTTTAAATTTAACTCAACTTATTGTTATAAAAGAATATGTTGATAAAAAAGTGTCGATATATGCTTTCATTTTTCTTAATAGTTAAAGTTAAAACTGAACTTTTTAAAATAAAGTATTTATAGCGTCATTTTCGCCAACTAGTAAAATATTTTTTTAAGTTTAAAATGGTATTTTTTCAATATATTAGGAATTAAAGTTTTTTTAAACTATGCTTAAGAATGGAAATAATGTGTTAATTACGTAAAGCTTGAAATCTAATAACCAGAAAAAGTCTTAACTTATTTTTACAGAGAGAAAGATGCAAAGTTATCATAATATCTTTGCTTGCGATCTCCGAGATCTGTGGCCACAGTGACGTCATGAGAAGGGAAATCGTAGCTTCAGCTCTAAGAGCGGAGTGAACTAGTCCTTCTATTCTCTTTAGCCCTGACTTTTTTCATTCGTCTCACCAATTTTAAAATTAAAACAATGTGTGTATGCCAAATTCAAAATGAAAATGCAATTACATGTGTGTGTTTAGGTATGAAAAATGAAAATTCGAATCGATAAAGTGTTATTTCTTTTTCATTTATTTATTCTTTTAATTACCCCCTGACATGTTGTGATTACAGAAGAGTTTTTTAGTTATTCAATTAGAAAAGAATAAATTAAATAATTAGTTAATGAATTGAATTTAGTTCAGAAACATCAATGTAAACCAGGTATTTACAGATTTTAAAAAACTTACAAATAAAATTTCTTAGAATGAAAAGGATATGAATATATAATGAGATTCTTTTTAAAATTAAATATTTATTGCAAATAAAAAGGCAATCAACTTTAATTTTTAAGAATTGTTTGAAATTAATTTGTTGAATAAATATGTATAATGTTTTGTTTAATGAGCATAAAAGAAAATAACTTCATTGACATTGTTTATGCCATAAAAAATAATAAAATGTGACCAAATGTTTAAATTTGTGTTATGTTTAAGTATTTTCTTGTAATATTTTTGGAAAACTACTAATTTATGAACAGCACTAACTTAGAACTAAGCACTTTTGAAAAAAAGCTTTGGTTTTTCATTTAAAACCTGGATACTTGATGGAAAATCTAGGTGAGCTTTTTCAATTAAAAAAAAAGATTTTTTTCAAACTTTGCACAGAATAGCTGTGTCTAGCTCTTATGCTGTTTAGTTTAATCTTTATTACTCTCTGAAAACAAACCTTTCAAGAATTTAGAATATTTTTGAACTGTTTTAATACATCGTTACATAAAATTTTTAAATTACTTTTAAGGCCTTCAAGGATCCTCCTGAGACTCTTGAAGAACTCATTCAGATGGAACATAGTTATGCCTTTATCTGCCAAGATTCGTATGTTATTTTTTTATATTTATGCAATAAGAATGCATGTAACTGCCACCTCTATAGGTTTAATCAGATTTTTTTTCAGTTTTGATATATTTTATTAAATTTTACAAAATTTCCTAAAATTGGAAGAAATTCTGATTTTTTTTATACTCTTGTTGTTTGCTTACTTGAATTCAAACAAGTTATATTACTAATTGAAGTGTGACTTAGATTTAAAATAAATTTAAATCGAAAGTTATTGAAAAGTACTTAAAACTTAAAAACTTTTTTTTAAAAGAATTTTTAATGAGTTTTCACTTTACATGTACACACTCGACTGCTAATAGCAGCTTAGGAAAGACCACACACAACTGTGATCTTATTACAGCTCTCCTGATGTTTCACAAAACACAGGGATGAGATATTTCCGCTTTTTAGCGGATTTCCGCTTTTTCACTTTTATCTCTTCAGCTTTTATTTCAGCTTTTTTATCAAAAATTCAGATTTTCTAAAAATTTCATTTTTTTTTATAAGTATTCCGCTTTTTCAGAAAATTCACCGATTTTCAAAGAGAAACAGAAAATTCAAATTACATAGCTACCAATCCTTTCTCATTTTTACTTATTTGACCTATTTTCTCCCCTTTTACACGCAGCACATAAGATTTTCCGAATTTTTTACCCGCCCTCCAGATAGATCCGATTTTCGTAGTTCAAACAAGGCTGCTTCTGACAAGCCTTTTAGAGGTCCCAAGCCTGGAATCTGCTAATATCTCGATTCTTATTCACGTGATTTTAATATCAAACATAGCTTTTCATATTTGCGTGTTGCGATTCTTATTCACGCAATTTGAATATTGTACGTTGCGATTCTTATTTACGAGATTTAAAAATCCGATATTGTGATTCGTATTTACGTCTTTTTAAAAACCTATGTAGCGATTCGTATTCACGCAAGTTTAAAATTCAATGTGTTGATTTGCTCATGCGGTTTATAATATCAAACATTGATTTTCGTATTTATACGTGATTTTAAAATAAGGCATTGGGATTCGCATTCACGCATTCTAAAAGTTATGCATCATAATTCTTATTTATGCAATCTAAAAATTACGCATCATGATTCGTATTTACGCGATCTAAAAATTATGAATCGTGATTTGTATTTACGCGTTTTAAAAATTCTATATCCCAGTTTGTATTTTCTCATTTTCAAAATCGTATATCTAGTTTCATATTCATGTGATTTCAAAATCCATAATTGTTATTCATATTCACGCAATTTTAAGATCAACTATCGCGATTCTTGTAAGAAGTAAATTTTTTTTAAAAATTAGTTACTATAAAAGTGACTGTTTTTCTAACGACGATTATTAGTATGTATATGTAAGTGTTACAACATCAGAGAAACTGGAAGGGAATATATTCAAAACTTACATTCTGTGCTAGCAAAGAAGAAAAAATAGGATTTGTCACAAAATGTTTGAAAATGGACTAACGACTAAATATAGCAAACATAAAAGATATAGGAAACAAAAGCAATAACTTAAAAAGGGATTCAATTTAATTTTTTTTTGTTGGAAAAAGAGTTAATAGTTAAAAGAGTTAACTCATCATCAAAATTTTATTTGTAATTGCTGTTATTTATGCTATAAAATGCAAAATTCTTATCAAATAAAAAACAATTATCTAAACAGTTGCTGATTGTCATGTAATTTTTCAAACTAAAATACCAATTTTTGTATGTTAAGGAGTTACTATATATTTCTACTTCACTGTTATTGATATGTTTCAAAGGGCTGTAGTTAGATTAGACTATAACATGAACATAATGATTTGGTTCATTGTTAAAGTTTTTTTTTCCCAATATAATTTAAAAAGTAATATTACTGATATATTTGCTATAAATCACATAACAGTATTTATTAAAAGAAATGAAATATTAATGTATATTCTCAGTAGTTTTAATTTGCTAAACCAAGTAGTTTTTCAAGTAATAATTGTCTCTTATGTGAACTGAGGAAAAATATAATTTCCAGCTTTATTTTTTCAATTGGTAATTTTTATTTTCACTAAATGTTAAGTATCAATGTAATCATTTATATAATAATAGATTAGTACACAATTGTATGTCAACACATTATTTATTACCTTAAACTGTCTGGAATTTATTGTTAAAGAGTTGCGCTTGCGTAAAATTTACTATCGTGGAAATTCAGCTTTTTTGCGTTTTGGCTAATCTCATCCCTGAAAACAGCAATGAATCAACTTGTGATATCCATTCTTCGAATTCTAGCCCCGATAAAATTCTAGTGGAGGAGTATTGTAGTGTAGCTATCATTACAATTATTTACTTCCAATTCACTAGTACATAAGACTTGTTAACTCGATTCTATCTGGCTGTACATTTGGATAGATGACAGTTGGCATTGTTGGTAGCCTAGCCCCAAATTCAACATTTATTCTTTCTCAATAAGCACATTAAAAGAGTTGTTGAAAGATGAGCAGTAAACTTTGGGAAGAATCAATTTTGAATATTAATGAAGTGTTGTTGTTTCTCATCCCCATTGGTCCCTGAATCCATTCACCCTCAGGGAATCAAAAAACAAGACCGGGTCGCTCAGAAAATACTCCTTTTCAAAATCCACACAGCTGAGGTGGTGGGCCGGGCTGTCTGCACTGGAGAAACATTTGTTGCAGGTGGGATAGTCCTTTCGCTGCTGTTTATACCTCATGCACTTTCTGTGACCACTGATGAATCTAGTGAGCACGGTCTGATTGCCTCTATTACCTCTGAAGGTCAAAGCACGACCCGGCTTATCCCCAGAGTACCAGAAATGTAGTGGGGAAGTATTCCAGACTAGCTGGACACCTTTCTTTCTAATGGAGTGAATTTCCAAGGATGTGAGTGCCAAACTTTCCGGCAGAGGTTCATTTGTGCCAAGTTTTGCCAGCAAGTCAGCTATCTCATTCCCGTATAGAACAGCGTGGGACGGAATCCACTGCAAATAAATATCCCGCTTCACGGAAAGTTTACTGAAAAGTTGTAGGATTGCCGTTCCAGCCCTATTGCCCACTCTGGGCCATGCACTCAAATATTGGATAGAGGTTCTAATTATTATTTATGAAGTTGTATACTAATAATGTTTAAAAATAACATCAGCAAATAATATTTGTTTAACTTTAAATTATATTGATGTTTTCATTAAAAAATCTACTCAATTCTGTTCCTTGTTTTAGATTTTTTAATAAATCGGATTAATTTACTCTTAACACTTTTTGAATGGCTTGTTTTTTAATATTATTTTTATCTGATAATAAAACATTAATGAAAGTGAAAACTCAACTTATCTTCTCACTTTTATGTATTTGTTTTGTAAATATATTTTATACTAAACATTCATTATCGTTTTAAATTCATTCAAACTTTGATATCTGTCTCGTCTATTGCCTATTTTGTTTATTTACTTCTGAAATTATTTTTTTTGAATGAGGCTTGTTTTGATGTTTGTTTATTATAAAGACCTATTATCACGAAAAATATATTTTATGGACTTGCCGAACTCCCAACGATTCCGGATATAGGATTTTCTATTGTATTAGTCTCCTTCTAAATTTGTTTTCAGCAAATGTGTAGATACCATAATATGTTTTTATTAATTAGGTTTGTAGATTTAGACTTTTATCAAAATATAATAGACAACAGTTGAGATTATTCAATTGTAATAATTTTATTTAAAATACAGTAATTTTTGGTAGAAAAGCCACTTTGTCATACACGCTGCATCCACAGCATATCTAAAATTTTCAATTATCGCATAAGTTGCTTTGTCGCATACTTCGCACTTCCAATTTTAGCCACTATTAAGGAGAAAACAGGCATTTTAATCTCAAAAAAGAAAAACAAAATAAGTTTTGGTAGCATTGTATTGCACATGAAAGCGAACTTAAAAACTCTCTAACGTAAAATTCGTGAGCTCACATCTTAATAATTTAACTTTTAAATAAAAAAGTGTATTTACGGTGGCTTAGGAGTAGCGCTTCGCCCCTGTCGTACCACAGGTCTCTGGTTCGATCCTCGGGCCGGACAAGGTTGACTCAGCCTTTCATCCCTTCAGTGGGTCGATAAATGAGTACCAAGCATGCTTGGGAACTAAACACTGCTGGTTCCGCGTTCGGCTGACCACCTGACCAGAACATCTGCTCCTGCTCCCCAGAGCCCAAGGTCAAGAAAACTGAGATGGGCACAGTAGGCCTTGGCCCTCTTGGGCTGTCGCGTCGCTGAGTTTTAGAACATATCCTGAAGAACCTATCTCTACAGTATGCGGGTACATTCCATTAATAAATAATTTCCTTATGCGGGCACAGTAGGCCTTGGCCCTCAAGGGCTGTCGCGCCATTGAGTTTAGTTGGTTTTATTAGTTAAAAAAAGAGAAGTATATATCACTTTAAGAGCAAATTGATTTTGGTCCGCTATTTTAGAATTTTTTTGCAAACTTATAATTTAACTTTGCATCTTAATAATTTAACTTTTAAATAAAAAAGTGTATTAACGGGAAATTAAGTGTTTCACAACAGATTTCGAGGAAATTGGCTTAACAACTATTTTCTTTCTATTTCAAATGCTGTGAATGCTGAAATAATATTTCAATAAACTGATTAAGGAAAATTTATTTTTGAAAAAATTGCAGCAGTTAGCTTATCATATAAATATATAAAAATCTAAATTTTGAATTTTTTTGTCTCTTACATTGATTTTTCTATTTCTTGGCTGTATACTTGCTTCAGTCTTTAGAATTTATTCTTTTTCATTTAGTTTTGAGATTTGGAAGCTATGTTGGTTAAGTTTCCGAAACTAAAATTTGTACTTCATAAAACATAGATTATTTTAAAAATTGAAATGGACAAAATTGAAAAAAATAAGCAAATATCTTTCATGTATATAGTATAATTTATCTATCAATGAAATTATATATTTGTCTTCATTAAAATAACAATATTCTTATTTGCTCTTTGCCCACTTAATCTAGATTTTAAGTACAAAGGCTAGGGTTTATTTTCGTTATTGAACAGTCGACCCAATTTTGAGTTCACAACTGCCAATGTTCAACTCCATAACCTTTTAATATTGAACCCAGTTCGAAAGTAAAGGGAATTCCTGGATCAAGTATGAGAAGTTTGTTTTCGTGGAAGATTTTTTTGATGAAAATTACCTGCATTTGTGTTACATGTAGAAGAAAACCACAAAACCTCCCACGGTTTGCCTGACAGCTAGTTGACTTTAACCCATGCTCCGTCTATCCCGGTGGATATTTTACATCAGCACTGTGGTTGGTGCAAGCCGGGTGTTGAATTCTTACCGACAAGCCATTACTAGCACTTGAACCCACTTCACCTCATTGAGTGGTTAGCGCTATATCCCCTGAGCCACCACAGCTGTAAAGGGAAGGATTGTGTAAAAAAAAATAGCTAAAATTTTTTGCATCATCTGAGGCTGTTAGCTTTTGTGAGATTTTGATTACTTTTCTATTTTTAAGTTAGGCAGATTTTGACCTGGCTCATGCTATTAACTTCAGTTATTTTTAGGGTATGAAACATTTTCATAGTTGAGTGCACTAACATGTTTAAAAAGGATTAAAAAAAATTGTATAGTGTACTGATTCTTGATTTTTTTTGCTCTTGTAGAAAATGTTTTATTCATAACATGTAATATTTATTTTTTGACCATTAAATATATAATCAATAGTTGCAGATATGGAGTAAATCTAAATTACTCTTAATTTTCAAAATATTTTCAGCTATTCATACTGAATAGTGAAAACTATTCAAACTCGTTTTGTATTGTTAAATTAAAATGTTTTATTTTGGTTTTTGATTTATGCAATATATTATATTTCAATTTTCTTTTTGAATAGTTATGAAGAAAAAAAGCAATCTGCTTCTGAAACTCTGTTGGCAAAAGATTCCTTGATTCAACCAGCAATTCCTTCTATCGAAATGCAGGTTGATTGCAATACGAACTCTTTGAGTGAAATTATGACAGTCAATATTTTGAAGGATAGTAAAAATGAAGAATCAATTGTGTGTGAGGATATATATCAGAATGAGAGTGATATTCCTCTTATTTCTGATGAAAGTAATTATGACTTTCAAAAGAAGTTAAGAATTATTCTAAAAGACTGCCAAACAGATAGCAGCCTTTCTGAACTTTATAATTTGAGACAAAAAAGTACTTTTTCTGCAGATTCAAACAAATTACCAAAGAAAACTCGTTCATCATGTGATTCTAATGATATAGTTACTCTGCAGCAACCATTAAAAAAAAGAAAAACAATGAAGCATAATAGTTTCGATGATTCTGAATGTACATTAAAAAATTTAAAATTACAAAGCACACCTAATAAAATCAAAGAAATGAAATCTGAAAATTTTGAAACAGAAAATTTGGGAATCAAAACAGAATTGTTAACTGAAAATGTTTTCAATGCTACTTTAAGGAGTGTTGAAACAAATGCAACAACTAAGAATGCAAATTCAAAATATCAAATGAAGTTGCAAGAATTAAAAATTAAACCAGCAAAGCTTCTTTCTATGCCTAAAAGTTGTAAATCAATTGAAAATTTTGATAATGCTCCAGATGAAAGAAAACAGGCATTTTTTATTGACTCTAAACCATCCACTCCGGGAAAAAAAGATTCTTTTGATTGTAAAGAGATAATTCCATTATCTCCTATTGTAACAAAATGCAATAAGAAAAAATTAATCAAACGAGAAATAACAAGATTTATTGTTAATAAAGATGAACCTCCTCTTTTTAGCCAACCTGATATGATGATAAAAATCGGTTCAGATGATTCATCAAAGAAAGATATTAAAGATAGTGATATGAGCAATGAGCTCGAGGAAGCTTTTCAGTTAAAAGATATTTCTGTTTCTTTATGCAAAGCTGAGGATACTATCAATAATGTTTTAAGTTTCTCTGATAATTCCACAGGTAATATGGAAACTATAGATAACAATTTAAAAGTGGAAGCTTCTGAAGAATCTAAAATTTTAAAAGAAACATCCCTTAATGAATGCAATGATTTTAAGCAAGAGAATTCATATTTAATGAAACATGAGGAGTGTATGAGTAAAATGGATACATTAGATTTCTCTACTGACATTCATCTACCCAAGAATAATGATTCTGTAGAGATTAGTCAAGTTATGGTAAATGAAAAGAAACAAAATGACTCTGAAAATCTCGAAACTAAATTTCAAGGCAATCCACCAGTTCCTGATGCTGAAATTAAACCAGGGCGTAAATCTAGTCGCCTTATAAAGAAAAAAGAATTTTTTGAGTTTGTTTCAGAGCCTCCTATTACACCTGCAGCAAAGAAAAAAGTTAATGGTATAGTATTATGTAGATTGTTTAGTATTAGTAGTTACTTTATTTTATATATTATAGCCAAAGTTCAAATTTGGCAAAAAATTTGTTCGAAATAGTAGTTATTGGATTGTTTAGAAAGTAATCTCGTTTTTTTGGAGGGGGGAATGAATTTTTTGAGTTTGTTTCAGAGTCTCCTATTACACCTGCAGCAAAGAAAAAAATTAATGGTATAGTATTAAGAAAATTGTTTAGTATTAGTAGTTACTTTATTTTATATATTATAGCCAAAGTTCAAATTTGGCAAAAAATTTGTTCGAAATAGTAGTTATTGGATTGTTTAGAAAGTAATCTCGTTTTTTTGGAGGGGGGAATGAATTTTTTGAGTTTGTTTCAGAGTCTCCTATTACACCTGCAGCAAAGAAAAAAATTAATGGTATAGTATTAAGAAAATTGTTTAGTATTAGTAGTTANTTAAGTGCCGAATTACTACATATTTATATTTTATAAATATTTTTTTTAATTTTATTTATTTATTTTTTGGAAATTACCTCTTTTATTTAAATAAGAAGATATCAGTTTATAAATCGCGTCCATAACAACGATGCATCGGCAAAAATTAAATATACTAAATTAATGCTTTACAAATATTACTAAAATTAAAATGTAAATTAAAGTATAACAAAGTGAGAAAAAATGAGAAAGAGCTATCAACCACGCGGTTTGGCGGGAACTAGATCGAGATCTACCCACTTTCTTTAAGGGGTGGTTGGTTATCGGTAGTGGCGCCATCTTTTGTCATAATTCGCAACTATTTTGATTTTAAAAAAAAATTTTCTTTGAAAAATGTAACATTTATTTTTAAAATATCGTAAACGCCGCAACCGGCATAAACGCCGCAATTAAAACTTTTAAACTCGTAAACGCCGCGGCGTTTCTTCCATAAATTACGGTAGTTATTGGATTGTTTAGAAAGTAATCTCGTTTTTTTGGAGGGGGGGAATGAAAGAAAATTTTCGTTTAAAAAATAAATATTTTATTAAATTATATATTGGCCATTCTGGTCCAACACCTTTTGTTATCTATCTGGTAGTAGCATGATTCCACACTCATAAAATTTTTGGTCTTTGCTGGCAAAAAACTGATCCAGGTGATTTTTGACTTCTTCATTTGAAGTAAAGGTTTTACAGCCCAAAAAGTTTTGCAGTGACCAGAACAAATAATAATCTGAAGGTTTCAGATCTGGAGAATATGTTGGATGTGGCAGTGTATCCCATTCAAGCTGTAAAAGCTTGACCAAACTTGTATGAGGTCTCGCATTATCTTAGTGGAACAGCATACCTTTTCTGTTGGTTAATTCTAGCCTTTTCTGTCAATTAATTCTGTCCTATTCTGTTGAAGTGCATCATTCAGTTTGTCCAGGTGACGACAGTAGATTTCCGAATTAATTGTTGTGTTATCCGGTAAAAGCTAAAAAAAAATATATAATCCTTTTAAGTCCCACCAAATGGTTTATCTTTTCTGCCCGATGATCTCTTGCATTTGACATTGTAATAGACAACCCATTTTTTGTCCCCCCCATTTTTTGCCCCTGTAATGATGCGCTTAAAAAATGGATCATTTTCGTGACATTTGAGAAGCGAATCACAGACGTTAACGCGAGGACACGAGTTTCTCTCCGTAGGAATATGGGGAACCGATATATCGAGCTTTGAGGTTAAACCCAGGCCTTTCAAGTGGTCATAAACAGTTGAATTCGATACATTTTACCTCTCACCAATATCACGTGTTGTTATTCGCCGATTTGCGTCAACTAATGCCTTTATCATGTCTTTCTCAGCTTCAACCAACCTTCCAGAATGTGGTGCATCTTTGACATTAAAATTGCCAGATCGGAATTTTGCAAACCAGTTCTGGCACTGGCATACTGTCAATACATCTTCTCCATACACATCGGTTATTTTCTTTCTGGCATGAACAGCATTTTTACCTTTTCTATTGTAAAAAAGTAAAATATGACGAAAATGCTGCTTATTGCTCTCCATATTTAAAAGGGCACCAACCAAAAACTACTGCATAGAATTAATTGAACTTTTTCACACACAAGCCTTGCTATATCAGCTCTCAAAACATGTAATGATAATGCGGCTTAAGTCTGAAGTTCGGTTAAAAAAAATACAATTTAATCCTCTGTCGGAAAAACGAAATTACTTTCCGAACAACCTAATAGTTATTCCAATAATCGTTTTCTAAATTACTGATTGTCTTTTCACACTTTGTGTGAGAATAGACAAAACCAAACAGTCTTTTGAATTTGGCATATCCTTTTCTAAATCTTGTACTCCAGAAAAATTTAAATGCATTTTATTTTTGTTAAAAAAAATTACGTTCAATAATGAGTAAACTGAAGAAAAAAAACATTATTTATTTTGTAGAGTTAATTTTTTGTGAAATATGTACAGAATTTAGATTATCAATTTTTACCTCTAAGTGATATAATTTATTTCCTAGTTTAGCTCTAATCAACATAAAATCATTCTGCTCTAGTGTTAGACATTTACTTTTTTTTTAAGCAAGAATTGTACGAGTAAAAATTACCATGTTTTTACTGTTTATTATAATTTAATACAATGCAACCTCGAAAATCCGGACTGCTGGGGGGTTTGGAAGGTCCGGATTTCCGAAATTTCCGGATTTTAGATACCTTACTTAAATTGATAGAATTATCGAACTTTCGAAGTTGCCAGGCCGATTTCGCAATTAAACGATTAGACCATCGACGTCAATTTTAACATAAATATACTCTTTAAATAATAAATAAAAGGCATTAAAAATCAAACTTTCGTCATTTTTCCCCTTAATCGATCGTTTAGATAACTAATATTAGCAATTAAAACTAAAAATATAGGCTTAAAACGCGAGCTGAATTTCAACTTATCGCTGAAACAGATGCTTCTAGACTAGACTGTACCAGCTGATACTAATCCTTTTTTTGTTGGGGGATGAAAGAACTTGGCCCCGCCTCCTAAGCTTCAAGGTTAAGAAAGAACCTGTTTTCTTTCTTCACAAGGAGGAAAAACAAAGTGGTAGAAGAATTCCTCCTCCTGAGGGGATTCCTCTTTATATACTTTGTTAATAATTATAAGTTTGCTGATAAGATTGACTGGAATTTCCTTATCAGCTATGAGCTTTCATTCACTCCCCACCCCAACCTCTTCATCTACTGCTTCATTGTTGGAGGAGGGGATTCCCCTTTATATTCTTTGTTATCTATACAGATCTGATAAGAATGACTGGAATTTCCTTATCAGCTATGAGCTTTCATTCACTCCCCACCCCTACCTCTTCATCTACTGCTTTATTGTTGGAGAAGAGTTGTGGTTTTGCACTCTTGCATGAAAATTTTTATTTTAAGTGATTTTTTTAAACTTTTTCTTTTGAAAATTTTTTTCTGACGAACTGGACGTATGAGTCCAGATTTTAGAGATTTCCGGATTTCAGAAGTCCGGATTTTCGAGGTCGTACTGTAGTATTATGTTACATGTGAAATAAATAGCTAGTTATGAGAGAAGTACTTTAATTACTATGATCCACTCTTTACTCTGATTTATAAAATAAATTTATAAAATAAAAAATATAAAAAAAACTTCATTGATCAGTTTTATGTTCTAATACAAATAACTTTAAATGCAGCATAGTTAAGCAGATTTTATATGGTTGCTGAAAGGAAATAGATTATTCTAAAAATAACCTAAACAAGTATGTAGATGGTTTCTATTCATATTTCACTTCATTTTATTAAGAAAAAGTGATTAACAGATGGAAATAGAGGAAATCAAATGTAAAGAAAAGAAAAGCAGTGGAATCAGACGTAAAAATAATTAATAATTAATTAACAATAAAAATGATTTTTATTTCAAAATCAAGATAGACTATACGAATAATACTTAGAATCTTGCTTTAAGCAGAAAAAAAATAATTTTATTATAACAGTAATTTTAATTAACTTAGTGGCACACTATAATTAATTAGGACTTAAGTCTTAAAATATCAAAAGTGCATCTTGGGAATTTTTTGTAAATCAAACTGTAAAATGTTTCCTCACATTCATACAAGATAACATGTTTTGATACAGTTTACTTTAATTATTATTTATTCCATTTTCTCTTATTAGTGTGAATTTTTTAAAAAAGAAAAACTATTAGAGATTTACTTACCTTAGTTAAAAATTTCAAATGATGTAGCCCTTCTTTTAATAGCCTATAGATTATTGAAAACTGATATATATATTAAGAAGTTGAAATTAATTCTTTCTAAATCTTCAGTTTTTACTTTGAAATTGACATCTTATTAACTTAAATATATTAAGTTTAAAATTTTGGTCATCTGGTTGACCTTACCATGAAATTGTAGCAGTGTTAAAAAATACTAGTAGCATAACTTCGATCCTCGGGCCGGGCAAGGCTGACTCAGCCTTTCATCCCTTCAGTGGGTCGATAAATGAGTACCAAGCATGTCTGGGAACTAAACACTGGGGGTTCCGCATTCGGCTGACCACCTGACTGGAACATCTGCTCCTGCACCCCAGAGCCCAAGGTCAAGAAAACTGAGATGGACACAGTAGGCCTTGGCCCTCAAGGGCTGTCGCGCCGCTGGGTTTAGTTTAGTAGCATAACTAAGGTTCATACTAGCATTTTTTGACAATTTATTGCAATGCTTTTTGTTAGGTAGAAAATTAAATCATGACAGTGGAACTAATTGCAATCAAACTCAGGGCTAGCGCTAACCTTTCATCATTTCCCCAAATTTGATAAAATCGTAAATTTGGCAAAGCAAATTTTGTCTTGGTGAACCGTTTTTTCTACTGAAAAGGAAATATATATTTCTCTTGTTCTTGAAAATTACGTCAAAAGAAATTTTTCTGAGCAAATCCTGTATTTTTTTATTTGATTACCGTAATTTCCGTTAGCTACATTTCATAACCAACAAGAATTGTACTAAATCTAGATAATGTAAGCAGCAGGAGAGATTATGTAAGCAGGAAACAAACCGTAAACCGTAAAACACTTTCATTGCCATATCACACCATAGCAAGATACAAAATTCTACAGTTTGTAACAATAAACTAGATTGAATGGCTGTAAGAGGCATATTATCATCCAACTATTTTTCTTGTAAATATTGTTTTTAGTTAAAATTTCAAAATTGAAATGCTGAAATAAAAAAAATTTGCCTTTGGTTTTATCTTTATAGATTACCACTCTTTAATGATAGATAAAGTATAATCTCCTACACTCTGCTGACAATGTCCCCCACCCAAGTTTCAATGAAAAATCTCTGCACACATTATAAACATTAATAAAATGGAGTAAAGTAAAATTAAATGATTTAAATAATTTATCTTATACTCTGGGTCTTTTTTCTGAATGATTACAATTGCAACAATAAAAATAGGTGAAACGGTAAAAATTATTTTATTAATTATAAATTAACTTAAAGAAAGAAGCGTTTTATTTAAGATGAAATCTATTTATTTAAAAGATAGTTGGAATCTAAAAAAAACATTGAATGTTGCTTCAAGTTTATCCTTATATTAATGCTTTACTTTACCTCAAAGATGATAAAATATCTATGTTTTTCAACCTCTCTTCCATTCATTGCTTATTTACTCTCTCTAACTCTAAAATGACTCTTTGTGCGTTTCGATTACTTCTGAATCGAGTCAGTGTTTTGAAATATTCTAAATTACGAAAAGAGGACTGTAACAATAAACTTAATATTTAATTTGTATGAAAGAATTACATGGACCAGCAAGGGTCGATCAATCAATGTTTTTGCATGGAAAGTAGGTACTTCATGCACTTACAATAGCTTTCTTCTTTCTTCAAAACAAAACAATTTTATTGAGAGATGTGGCGATGGTTCATCGCTGCAGTTACAAGCATCTACTACTATTTTCCCTCTGGCCCATACGCCCTCTGGCGTCACTTAACACTCTTGATTTAATTTTCTATTTTATAAAATAATTCTATTTATAGTATATTTGTATTTTTATTTTAAGTTTTCTATGGGGAAAAATTTATCATAAAAAATTATTAAGATTTGCCTTTGGCTAAGACTTCAGAAATTTGCCTAATTTGGTAAGTTATCTTCTCTTTAGATTAAAGGTTCTGCCTTTTTTTCTATATTGGAATTTTTAACATGTTTCACATTTCTTAATTTTTCTTTGAATTTTTATATTCATGTTCAGCAAAAAGAAATTTTTTTTGCTCTTTTACTTTTTTATTTTCACTGATATTCTTCTCGAATTAGTTAAAACATGTCTTTCATTGACTTTCATTGGTATGACAATTTTTTTTCTTTCATGATTTTCAATCAATGTTATTTAAATCATCTTTGTATGACTGAATAGACAGGTACTTCCAATTCCTTTGTCCATCTTTCTTCAGTCTGTTGTTTAACTTTATGAAGTTCTGGATCTTTAGAAGTTTCATCTTTAAGCTTACTATGTACATCCTTATTTACAAAACTCGCAGGACCCATAGATTTAATCTTTTAAATTATCTGCTGAAATTTTTTTTCTGGCGCCTAATGTTACCTGGCTCTTATTTTTCATCCCACTTTCTTCATTTTCATAGTCAGTGTTTCTGAAACATGTGGTATATTTTAGATTTCAGGAAGTTACAAAAATAAAAAGTCAAGAATTTATACTGGTAGTTTCTTTTCACATTGCAGAATTTTCTAATGAATTGATCGATGCTTATTAATTTAAAAATAGGAAAAATCTTAGCATTGTTTTAAAAGCAGTTCTATTGTATAAAAATAAATTATTTTTTGAAAGGAAGATACTAATGTTGATGTTAAATATTAATGCACCATAACAAATTGTGAGATGTGAAATATTCAATATGTATATATTTATTATTTCCGAAGGATAATTGTGAAATAAAATTGTTTTATCCCAATTGAGAAAAAATCAGTACACGTGCATTTTTCGTTCAGTTTTAATTTGAGCAGATTAAAAAATTCTTTTAAAAATTTCATTATCATGTTTGCTTTGTAAAAAATAACAATGTTGTAGGTATTGTAAGATAAATGCAAACAAATCATATATGTACTTAATAAAAAATATGCTGTTGTGAAAGACTAGTTTATATAACTGATATGATTTAAATTGAGGTTAACTAAGCAAAAGTAGTGAATTAAAAGCATAGTTTTACCTTTTCTTCATACAATATGAAATTGCAACTTCTAAGTTTTTTAATTTTTGTTATTTTTTTAAGAAGGATGATTGCATCAGAGTAGTTTTTTAAGCAAATAAAAGAAATTAAATAAGGAAACATAAAAAGAAGAGGGAAAAAATATTTTTAAATGCTACTTCAACTGTCTACTGAACATTTTTGTTTGCTAACTTATACTGTTTATTAGGAATATTTTGACCTATTACTATTTCATTATTTGTATTTATTGTAAAATATATTTTTTTAAAAATTTTATTAATTGACCTTCCATAATTAGCTTTTAACTAATTCCATGTTTGAAAATTTTATCAAAATAAAAGTAAGTCTGCATTTTTAAAAATAATTTGTATTTTTAACAAAATTATTTTCTCAGCTCTCTCTAGATTTTTAACAGTTTTCAATGTTAACTAACTTTGAACAGTGTAAACAAGTTTTTTGGTGTTTGCCAGCATAAACCAACTCTAATTGTAGTATTGAAAGAAAAAAGTTTCTTCAACTGAATATAATTTTCTTCCTTTTAATTTTATTTTGATAGCTCAAAAGCCAAAAAAAGAAAAATCAGAAAAGAATAACAAGCATATCTCTGAGATTGATGTAAATGAGAATGAACCAGATGAGGAAGAAGACGATCCAGACAAACTATGGTGCATATGCAGAAAGCCTCATAATAATAGGTATTTGCAATATTGAATTTGGATATTTTAAATTCATGTAGTTACACAGTTGAACCTTCAATTATAAGTAGCATTGTTTTTGAATATCTTTCAAAAATATTAATAAAGGAATTTTAATTTGATTAATAAGTGATAATTAACGGTACAAATAAGTAACCTAGTAAGTTTCATGCAGTGCCATGTGTCACAGCAATAACACAATATTTTGTGTACTAAGTAGGACTGGGCTATAAATCGATGTATCGAGGCATATCGATTTAACGCATATATCGGCAAGATGATACAGCGACTTTCATTCAATGCGATGCATCAGAAATCTGATTTAAGCCGTCGAGTAAAGACAACGAGCGTAAAGCGATATAAGACACGCAAGGATATGAGAACGATATAGCGATATAAGACTCTTCTCTTACGTTCCGATGTCGACTCGCGCTGTGGAAAACGATGTTCGTTTCGTTATGTTGAAATGGCCTTGATTGGTGAGCTGTAGAATCAGAGTTATGGGAACACATATCGTTATATCGCATGTTCCTTTTCGCACCTCTTAGCTTTTTTTTTTATCGTTGTCGCAACTTTTCTTGTAGATTATTTTCAGTGGGATTAACTTCGTGATCGCCGATGTTACCTTGTTCTGAAGGCAATCTATTATTGAAAAGAATATATAAAGAAGAGTTTCTTCATTAATTAGATAAGTTTTTTTTAAAAAAAACTTCTTTTTATTTTTAAATGTGAAAATTATCGGCAATCTAATTTAGGCGCCCATAAAGAATTGAATTTGTTAGGTTATTTTTTTACTTTCTTTTAATTTATTAAAAACTTTTTGGATGAAACTTCTAATAATTTAATGAGTTTTTATTACTGATTTTAAATTTATAAATCTTGTTGTTTTTATTTTTAGAAATAAAGTTAAAACAAAATTTATTTTTGTCATTTGGATTTGGACATAAGTCAATCAACTTTGTTTATACAAAAAAATTTGAAAGGTTTGCGTATTTTATTCATTTTTTTAAATCATTTAGCACTTCGTTTTATTAGAGAGTATAATAATTTTTTTTAAAAAATATTCTTTTCATATTATTTGTTAATTAGCTAAATATATTATCGAATATCACAATTTTTTTATTTTTAAGAAATTAAATCTTACTTTGTTTTTCGTTCATAATTCGGTCATTATTTAATTTAATTTAATTATTTATCTGAAATGATAAGGTCCCGCAGTGGACTGATCGTTAAGACACGGTTCCCTGCAGATCACCGAAGTCAAGCATCACTGGCTGCGGTCAGTGTGCGGGTGAGTGACCACTTGGATCAGTCTGCGTAGGGACCGAGGGTGTGCGGTATTGGTCCTCGTTAAACTGTTCTACCGTAAAGTGCTCGACTTCGCGTGCAGGTCGTCGAGCTACCGAAGCGGGGGTGCCATCCCATCTGCAGAGGATCAAAATTGTGATGGCATGTCTTCGGATCATCCTCAGGGATGTTTCCCAGACCGTCGCCAATAGCCCATTGTGCAGCTCTAGTGTGACGTAAATGAACTATAATAGAACTATAATAACTGAAATGATAATAATAAAAAATAGTGTTTTAAAAGCGTTTTTTTCTTCTAAAATTTATTTAGCACTTTGTTTTAAACATACAAATAATTTTTAACGTTTCATTTAGAAATTGAACATTACGATCGAACTTAATAATTACATAATTATTTATGCATAATAGTACAAGAAAACATTAATTTGTAAAAAACGCTTTAAAAAAAGTTTTTAACATTTTGTTTTACGCGTATTATGAATTTCTAAACAAACATTTCAATAAATATTTTAAGTAAGATTTGTACATTGTAGTCAATTTATTTAATATCTTTCTTAAGCAAAACATATATATCTTCAAATTTATAAATCGATTTAAATCAATCTGATTATGAAGTTTTGATAGAAATCTGACTTTCTGTGACTTACAAGTAAATGAAATTCAAAAATACTATATCGCGATACATCGCTATATCGCGATGCATCACGATATATAATTTCTAATAAAGCCCAGTCCTAGTACTAAGTATTATTCATTCTTTACATATATTAAATAATTTTTTGTTGTGAGCAAATCATCTGCTTTGTATGTAATCATCATAGATAACAATAGCAATAGCAGTAGTGAGCAGTCAACAATCAACAAATGTAATCATCATACCTTTTTTCATTTTCTATTTTTGACAAGACTTCTGGATTTACGCCTTGGTTTAATTTCTTAGTCAGAAACTGTGTTGTTTTGAAATTTAGTTTCAGAGAGAATTTCAGTGTCATTTTATTTCTTTTCATCTACCATAACTTAACTAGACTCTACATAATTATTATTGACTGTTTGTGCCATAATGGAACGATTGTAAAGACATGGTTCCCAGCAGAACACTCGAGTCTAGTATCACTGGCTGTGAATATCAGTCCACATTAAACTGTTCTGCTATAAAATGCTTAACATCACACTCAGATCATTGGGCTACCAAAGTGGAAAAGCCGTCCCCTCTACAGAGGATCAAATAGTTTTGGTGTATTTTTACTTTATAATTTACTGTTTCAGAGTTTTAAATATACGTACAAAATGAACCAGGGTTGATTCTTAATTTAAGGGTGGTTACATGGTGTTCATTATATTCAGCTTTAATTTCCAAGTAATAATAAAACTGTGCAGTTTGGAAGAAAAGAGTTACGTTTTGATACATTTTGTGATAGAATACTTCATTTTGCTCAAAACTTAATACAAATTGACAGTCAACCAAAAAATACTGAAGTGAATTTGTGTCATGTCGATTTTACTTTTAATTTTTAGTACTTTCTAGAGGAGGTAAAATATAAAATAGTTTTAAGTTATTCTGTTCAATATTCTTATCAAATGCAATAAGAATAATACCAGGTGAAAAATGCTGAATTAGACACTTGTTTTTAAAAATGATAATGATTGGATCAATCTTAATGATAAGGGTACAAAAAAGAGTGTTTTAAATAAAATCTAATACTCATAGTTAGTAAGATTTTAGTGAAGGAAGAAAATGTAGAATGTCTGTTTGTTATAGAGGCCGCCAGAAAAAAAATCAGGGTTTCATAGTAGAATAGCATTTGCTGTAAGTAAATGCAATTTGAGAAACACTCCAAGATACTGGTAGGCATAAACTAAAATCATCCAAACATACAATTACTTAAACACACAACAGTTAGTAGTTTCACACCTTTAATTTATGGGAAACCATGGCTTCTTGACAAGCAGTGCTTGTTTCTCATGCATCAATATGTACTTGCACATTTTTCAAGTTATGCTGTAGCATAAGGGTAAAGAGAAATGGTCAGAGTGACTGGAATTTTTATACTAAGTAAGAGGGTTGACATGATATAAAAAATTCATTCTCTTTTTAAAAAATTCATTTAAGTTGAAAATATTTTTTATACAGAGTAATTTATAAGTACATTCTTAAAGTTTTGATTTCTGGTTTCATTGATATAGCAGATTTTATCTATAGTAATAATGAGAAAGAGGGTGTTGGTAAATTTAATGCTCTATTTAGACTAATAAATAATAAAATCAAGGCTAAATGTGATGAGAAACTTAAAAATTTGAAAATTTCCATCAGCTGTATTTAAATTTTTTATTTAATGAATTGATTTCAATTATCTGTTTAGTTTTATGTTTATTTAAATATAAGTACTTAAATGTTGTTATGCATATAACAAAGGAAGAAGGACTTGTTTTGTCAACAATATAAACTAATAACTGGTTACAAGAATATAAGTATTATATGATAATGTGAAACTTTTAAAATATAATTTTCCATCAGCTGTATGCAAAATAATTTGCTATTTACTCAATACCTTTCAATTGTACACATTTAGTTGTATTTTTTTTTTCTTTTTAAATTACAAGTACTTGTTTGTATTAGTGCATCAATATTATAAAAAAGACTTGCCGAAAAAGTTAAAAATAATTGTTTTTTTTTTTAATGTTTTGTTTGACATTAATTTATTCTTAATTTGATGTCCAGCAGACAAATTGGGTTTCTGTTTTAACTTATTCAGGAGGGTGTAGACAAGGTGGTCACAGAACAGGGAAAAATTAGGAAATTTTATCAATTATGAAAAAGCGGGAATTAATCAAATAGTAAGGATTTGAATTTTTTAAAAGAATATTTTACTAACTAATATAAGTGTCAAGTCTAGTAATGTTTGGTAATGTATTTTATGCACAAGAATCGATATATCTGAAGAGATAATATAATTTATACTCTCTGCTACAAAAATGAGGAGAATTTGTTGAAATTAGTCTGGAAAAAGTCGAGATTTTTTTTTCTGAGTATTTAGCCTTCATGGTTAAGCTTTAATAAATTTAATTTATTCAGAGTGGTGATCTTGTGATAATTTTAAACGTTTTAATTAGGAATATTAAAAATTTTAGATTTTTTGCTTATAAATAAAGTTAAACTTTATTATTTTATTAGAACCTTGATTGATGAGTGTAAAAAGAAAAATTTAAAAGCTGATTTCAATGAAAAATATCATGATTTTTACCAACTGTGAAATGTAACTTTAAGACAAAAGTTACCTCACAGCATCGTTGTAATTTTATGTGAAATTGAAAATTTAAATATTTTTTGTTTTTGTTAAATATAACTTGTTATTGTGTGAAAAAAAATCAAATTGGAATTAGTAGCAGAATTATATACAATTAAGTGGGCTTTTTTTAAATAAAATCTAGACCATATATTGCTTTGTGAAGTAAGTTATGAAGCAAAAAAATTAAATCCGTCATTCAATTCACTAGTAAATTCTTTCTAGAAATGTGCAAAATTTGAAAAAGATAAGTTATTAAATATTTATTAACTTTATTTTAACTTATATCATATTTATTAACTTTATTAGCAATCTAATTTAGTGGAAGGAATTCCCATAGTGTTAAACTTCAGAAATAAATAAAAATGTGCTAAAAAATTAAATTTTTAAGATTTATAAAAAAATTGCCCTTTCTTATTTACTTACACAAGAACCAAGCAAGAATGGGATAATATACTTGTTTTTGCTAATGATCGTAGCATTCTATTTTTGTTATTCTAAAAATGCTTTTTTTTATGTTTTAAAAACATGATTTTTTTGTAAACTGTAAAACATAAGTTTTATATATTGCCATTTGTCTGTTGGTTCCAGTTGTGAGCATAAAAATAAATTACAATGAGTTTTAAAACAAAATTTAGACAAATTGGACAAGTTTCAATGAATTTTCTGGGAGTCATTTTAGGTTTCTACCTTTCTATCCACTTTTTTAATTTTTCTATTTCTATTGGTTTTTTCTGATTTTTCTTTAGTACACAGGGGTGAATGTATTCCAGGTGTACACCAGAATTCCAGGGTTTTTGTATCACTTGGAGGAATCGAAGTGTAGAAATTAGAAGAAAGTTGTGTGATTTTTCTCGCAAAATCCCACTTATCTCAAGTCTATGTATTCATCAGCGAAGCAAAACTTGCAATCCGAAATTATTTTCACCGCAATCTAAATTTTAAAGTAAGAATTAAGTTGTAAAGTTTAAATTTTGAAACCTTCTCTAAATTGCGTTTATGAGACGTTTTTATAACGTGACTCTTCAGCAATTTTGATTTTTCATACATTGTTTTTAATATTTGAAACAGTACCGGAATCGGCTAATTTGCGATTCATGTTCTCGTTATCAAACATCGATTTTCGTATTTACCTGATTTAAAAGTAACTCATTGTGAATAAAAGGCATCTTGAACTAGGTAATGTATTCTACCTAGACTATAAATTATAACTCGCGGGGAAAGTCAAGTTTCTTGGGTATTATTTTGACTCCAAACTTAATTGGGGTTATAATCTAGAATACTGTATCAGCAGGGTCTGGGAGATTTTCTGGTTTCGCGGAAATACTATTTGTAGAACCTGGGGATTATCCCCCAAAATAGTCTACTGGATATACTCAATGATTATTAGTCCTATCATCACATATGGCGCAATTGTCTGGTGGACTAGGACTATATTGAGCTCCGCTTAATCTTAATAGACTACAAAGAATGGTCTGTGTAGCCCTGTCAGGCTGTCTTAGTATCACTCCTACAGCTGCTCTTGAGAGCTTACTTGGGCTTCTTCCATTGAACTTATGTATTGAAGTTGAAGCTCAGACAGGCATTAAGCGTCTTATGTACCTTGGTCTATGGAAAGAGTATTCCAAACACTTGTCATGGAGTTATCTTGTTTCACAAGTGATGGATATACCCTCTTTCATTATGCCTAGTGGTTATAAGTCACTAAGATATGCTTTTTACAAGCCTTTCAAGCCATTTTCCTACTAGGGATGAATGATTAATTCTCCTCGATGGCTTAAAGGCAAATATCTAATATGGTACACTGATGGTTCAAGGCTTGATCTCAAATCAGGAGCAGGAATTTATTGCTCCAATGATGGTTTCAAACTTCACTTTCCCTTGGGAAGCTATGCCACTGTTTTTCAGGTTGACCTCTATGCCATTATCTTGTGCTGTAAGATATGCTTAGACAGGGGATATCAAAATATGACTATCCGCATCTGTTCCGACAGTCAGGCTGCTCTCCTATCTCTGTCAAAGTGTAAATTCACCTCTTAGCTAGTGTGGGAGTGTGCTTTTCGGCCCTTTGTAACCTATCTACTCATAACAGGGTATACCTGCATTGGCTACCTGGACACAATGTTTTCACTACAGCGCGAGAACGCGAGAATCTCGCATATTTTTTTATATTCTCGCATTAAAAAATGATTACCGCGAGAAATTCGCGCATTCTATAAAAAAATTTCAAAATTCGCGAATTTCTCGCATTTTGAAAAAAATTTCTCATTTGCGCCATTTAGAATAAAATCCGTTTCACTTTTCTTCCTGGATCTTTTATTATTTTCAACATCTGCCCCATTATCTAGCTTCCCTATTTACCAGTATTGTTCAGAACCTTTAAGAACAACAGAACACCATCCTTCCGAACCACGGAACCTCTTTCAGAACGCATTTCTCTGCAACCACGTGTTTACCGTAGGTAAGGTTTCTTCATGTAAGACGTTCAAATTTTTTGCTCGTTAATGTAAGATGGACAAATACCTTGTAAAGCCAATATCTTCTACTCCGAAACGGACAAATGAAAATGAAACAAATGTGGGTAGAAACGATCAAAACGAAACAAATACGCATTTGAGCAACCTAATGAGAATAGCTGATGAAAAAGTAGATGTAGAACATTTTCCATACGATGATGCAGCAATAATATTCAATGCTTTAAAAATGAGAAGATGTTAAAAATGCATCATAATTAAAGATATTATTTTTTTTTTCAAGTCTCTTTGCGTTTTTTTTTAAATAATTTTTGAAATCTCACTTAACTTTTTGAAATCTCACCCTGTTTTTGAGAAAGGGTGAGAAATTCTCACCCATTTTTTTTTCTGAGTAGAAAACACTGTGGACATATGGGTATTCTTGGAAATGAGCTAGCTAATGAAGCAGCACAGGTTGGCTCTAGTGCAATTTTCTGGGACCCTGAACCTGCATTGAGAATTTCTCTCATATCTTTTAGGGCATCTATATTCAAGCTCTATGGCAAATTGCCCATGAGCAATGGTGCGTCGCTGACGGTCAGAGACAAGCCTAGGAGCTGAATCATGACTGTCCTAGTGTATGTCAAAAAGAGCTTTTAAAGCTTAATAGAAACAGTTTGAGGAAGATCATTACTCTTTTTACTGGACACTGCATCCTCAGGAGACACCTATACTTAATGGGAATTGAATCTAATTCTCTTTGTCGAGGTTGTAATCTTGAAGAAGAGACATCACGACATATACTTTGTGATTGTGAGGTCTATTCTGCTCAAAGATTGCATTAAAACCTGGGAACTGCAAGATGCTCCTGTAAGGTGTTAGCTGAATTTTATTTCAGCTATAGGGCTTTCTTACTAATCATGATTTAGGGTTTGGTTACAATAGACCTCTGGTTGATGTGACCTGCTCTTGGAGCTGCCTAACCTCTAAGTCGAAGTCTTACTCATTGTGAATTGTATTCACACGATTTAAAAATCATACATCGCGATTCATATTCACGTGATTTAAATATTTAATTCCTCTATTGTTTTTTGCAAGTTTTAGAAATCAATATCGTAATTCGTAGTCACGCGATTCAAGAATCCAATTTACATAATCGTATTTACACGATTTTAAGACCCAATATGGCAATTTGTACTTTATCATTCTTAAAATCAAATATCGCAATTCATATTCACGCGATTTTAAAATCCAATATCGCGATTCGTTTAGGAACTAAGTTTTTCCCTAAATCAGTTACTATAAAGGCGAGATATTCCTCATTGGTAGGTAATTTAATTATAAATCTTAGTTCAAAGAATTATATTAAATGTGAATAGTATATAAATTAATGTCCTTGTTATAGAGTTTTTTCACGCTGTTCAATTGTTTGTTCGAGTTTGCTACTTTCAGGGTTTTTCACTTTGTGTCACAATCAGTCACCCCTGAGTACATTATACCTTCCTGGAATAAATAAATTTCTCTCGGAAAGTAATAAAGACATTTCTCTCAGAAGAAACATAGTGTTGTTTAAAGGTAAAAAACTTTTAAACTTATTGCTGACTAAACTTTTAGTGGGAGAAATACTTAAACTTAACATGTAATGTGGCACCAAATCCACATTTGGGGGTAGAAAACAGTATATTTTGGAAAATTTAATATTTTTGAAGGTTTTGTTTATTTTTATAAGGTAAAAAATGGTTTTTAAGATGGATAATTGCTACAACATAGAAAATGTTTCCAACATTTCTTAAGATATCTGGCGAGCGTTTTAAAAAATATGAATAATTTTATAATCAAAAGCTTATTGACTGTCATTAAGCTTGTTTTTTTTTTCTTTTTTTTCAACTCTGCAGTTTATAATATTTTTTTTTTGTTCTGCATACTACTTTTGTAATAGCTTACAGTAATTTGTGTGATTTACACGTTACTGTTTTCAATATTTTTATATTGTATACTCTGTTTTTTTTTATTTACTATGGAGTGGATGATTTACATGAGCTTAGTTTTTTTTTTAAAAATTTATATTGAATTTAACCTAGGTTTATGATTCAGTGTGATACATGTGAAGACTGGTTTCATGGAACCTGTGTTGGTGTTACTAAGCAACAAGGCGTTCAATTAGAAAAACAGGAAAAAGAATGGATTTGTCCATCTTGTCGCTCTAAGGGTATGTTGAATCATATAATCTTTCTAACGGTGACTGATTTCATTATAACCATTATATAACCATTAAGTAGCATTTAACAACCAACTTTTTTCTGTCTTACTTTTTCATTGTTGCTGGTACAGTGAAATGTGTTGCATCCTAATTATTAAAATTGCTGGAAAATAAATAGCTACCATCATCTGAGTAGTTACCTTTTGTTATGCTGTTTGCTAGTAAATTTAGTTTTTGCTTTAAATAATATATTGTAACCACTCATTATTTGAGTGAAGTTTTTGCATTAAAAACTGTTTGTTTTGCTTTAAATGAGAGTTCTCGTCTTCTTAAGGAATTTTAAATACCGTATTTTTCAGCGAGCTATCGAAAAAAGTTTTTTTTTATCAAGGAAAATTATTTAAGATGAAATAATTTCCTGAGAGAAAGACTATTAAAAAAAAAATTTATAATGAAGTCAACAAAATATTCGCCCGCATCGCGATCTGCTGCAGAACAATTGCCAATTCTTAGCAAACTTTCGGCAGTTTCAGGAAGGGTTTTTAACTTTGAATGTGGTCATAACAAAAATATGTAATATTTCGACTGATGGGGCACAAAATATTACAGAAAAAGAAATCTGGATTCCTTGAACTCTTTAATCAGAACTATTCCGGGAATAACGTTAGTTTTCTACATTGTGTTATACACCAAGATGCTCTGTGTAAATCTGCATTGATTATGAAACCTGTGCTTGATGCAGTAGTAAAGCTTGTAATACTATTCAATTTCGTGGGCTTACTCACTGGCAATTTCGAAATTTTCTTCAGTTCGTGCAATCGGAGTACTCTGATGTTCTGTATTATGCGAAAGTAAGGTGGCTTAGGGCAAGATATGTTTTCGAGCGTGTTGGCAGCTGAAAGACGACATTGTGTCGTTCTTCCATGAGAAACAGTCCTCAGCAGAGTGCAAAATATTAGAAGATACGGAATGGCTTTCAGACTTTGCATTTTTCACAGATCTTCTTTGTCATATGAACAACTTGAATGCTGAGATGCAAGTGAAAAATCATTTCATCAATGGTATCTGGACCCATCTCAAGGCTTTTAAACAGAAGCCTAATCTGTTTGCTGGGCAGCTAGCTAAGAACGACTTGTTTTATTTCTCGAGGTTAAATTCAATACCTTCAGTAAATATGGAAAAGCTTAAGAATTATGAAGATGACTTCGAAAAACTCCATTTTGATTTTGAATGCAGACTTCAAGATTTCAGTGCCATTCAAGCAGAATTAGATATTTTTACCATGCCTTTCAACGTAAATTGTGAAACAATGAGGTTGTATTTGCAGCTAGAATTAATTGAGCCAATGAAGAAAAATTTGAAAAAAATTGAAGAAATATGACAATCAATTACAGAAGGAAAGTAAGAAAGAAACTTACTTAAAATAACAAAAATCCAATAGTTAAAATTCACTGCTGTCGAACGTGAATTTTAACTATAGGATTTTTGTTATTTTAAGTAAGTTTCTTTCTTACTTACCTTCTGTATTTGTCATGTTTTTATGCTTCTGTATTTTAAATGTATTTTGAATTGCATTCTACTTTGTTTTTTTTGTATTTTATACATTCTTTTCCTGGACTATGGCAAAACTTTTGGGGTACAGAGAAAGCAATTTTTGTCTTGGCTTTCTCGATAGAAAAAGTTTTGCATTTTTGACATCCGAAGCTGGTACCCCCTAACGACGTCAGCTTTGGCTGTCATATTTTTTCAAATTTTTCTTCATTGTCTTATTTTTAATTCCAGGACATTTTCTTTTTAGCAAGTTTAACACTTAAAAATTTTGTTAAAAAACTAGAATTGAAATATTATCAGCAATTTCCTAATTGAAATTAAAATAATAATGTTTTTACCAATACAGGAATTTAATATTGTAGGTTTTTGACCTGACAGATTTTTCCATAGATGAAACCAACAAAAACTTGCCATTTAAGTAGTGCACAATTGTTGATGTATTAATGTGGTCTGGTTGAGTGCTCTTTAGGCAGTTAAAGCTAAGAAGATCAACATGATTATGAAAAACCTGTTTCTTTTTCCTTGATATTATTTATTTCCATACAAAATTTGGAAAAAATGAAAAAATCTTATGAACAATTTATAGAGTGTGTTTCTAACTCTTCCAAATTTTTCCTCCTTTTTTTGTCATTCTGCTCCAAGACTCAATTCTTCCAAATTTTTCGTTATTTTTCTCAAGTTTGTTTACCATATTAATTTTTCGAACCACTAAATGAAGACTTAGGTGGTTGTATAAGACCACTAAATTTCCATTGGGGGTGTGAACCCTAAAAATTAACATAATCATATCGTATTTTAATGAAAAAGGAGAAAAGAACACTATTTCTAGAGCAAACTGTTTTTCATTTCATCATAGTTAATCAAGATTTCTGTTTAAAATAATCAATAGTTTTTGTATTTTTTTGTATTAAAATAAAATTAAGAAATGGAACAATAGTAAATATTTCAATTGGCTGATATGAGTGGTGTGCAAATTATTACTGTAATAAAATAAAATTTTTTTTTGGGGGGGGGGGTTGAACTGTTTTTGTTCAAAAATTAGAATGATATTAATGGAAAAAAAAGAACCTTGTATATTGTTGGTCTTTTGAGAACCACACCCTTTTTGAGAATAATGATATGTGCATAATATGCCCTTATACAATTGTAAGACAACAATTGTAAGAAATTATTAATCTATTAAAAGTACTCTTAAAACTTTAATTTATTTATATTTTTGTTTAAAAGTTTTAATTTATGATGCTATGCCACGGTTCTTTGAGTCCATTTTGTTTTACAACTGATATTTTTTAGTCTGTTTTTTATTTTTTATTAGGTATCGTTTCATGAGCAATTTATTTTTAAACATGACGTGCAACTATGGAAATATAGTGTAAACCTATTTTTCATTTAAAAAAAAACACCAGTGTTAAAGTCAAAATCTTTTACTTCTAAAGTCATTGAAAAAAAAATTATAAATTTTAGATTTATACCTTGATGTTAAAATTAATATAATTTTGGTGTGCTAATTTTGCTTTTAAACTGTACAGATGTTTTGCAGATATTATTCTGTTTTTCTTTTGCCATTTTTTTACTATTTCGTATTAAAAATTAGTATATCATTGCTGCTTTTCTTGATTGTAACAACGTCTCTGAACAAAAAGCATATTCCAATTTGTTTTAAAGATGATTTATCATGTTCATCTGTGTGGCTTTATTATTTATTCCAAGTTATCATTGTACCTTAATGTGCTTAATTGTATAATATTTCATTTGAAAACCAGTAATTCTATAAAAATAAAAATTCAAAACTATACACATTAAATGATTGCTTGAGAATAGCGTTTTCATTTGTAACCTGATTTTTTTTTTTTTTTTTTTTAAGCAAAAAAATTACATGTCTAACTATTTTTGGTTGACAAAAGACTGCATTATGTTATATATGAGTCGTAAATAATACCAATTTGTTATAATAGAATAATTTGTCAATATAGTAAATTCATTTTTTTTTTTAAATAAATTTCAATCTTATTTTAGCTAATAACATAGACTTTTTAACTCAAAGAAGAAGGAAAAAAGGTTTGAATTAACCAAACTTGAAGTTATCTAAAATTCAAATATAAATATTGGTTTAAAAATAAGGGTATTGTAATGTAGAATAAAAGTAAATACATTATTTCACAAAAAGCAAAATTACCTTAAAATCTTTTTAAATTTCAATGACTTGCAACTAGTATGTTTATAATGAATTTAATTATAAATTAAAAATTCATAAACACACAATTATCTCCATATAGATTCGCTTTAAATATTTTGTGATAAGTTGGGCAGATTACATTATTAAGAAAATTTTCAGGATCATCAATAGCATAAAATAATTTATTTTTAACCTAAGTTTAAAATGTTTATAATTTTTCTTAGATAGCATTTTAAAGGCTTCAGAAGGGGTTCGTGTATGATAATGGTTAACTATTTAAGAGGATAGAAAAATTATTTTTGGTTTTCACTACATCAAATTTCCAATTCAACCAAAAAATTGGGCAAATGTTTGCTTTATAGTTAAAAGTTAACAATTAGTATCAGTGGGAAATTCTAGGGGAATTAATATAAGTTCGAATTACTCAACTTTTTGAATTTGCAATGTTTGAAGTAAAAAGAGTCAACTGTACCTATTTTATTTCTAATTTGCTTTCATCTTATTTCGAATAACAAACTTGATCAAGGTGCCCTTGATTGTGTAGCATATTTGTTCAGCAACTTTTAGCATGAAACATTTTTCTGGTGCATTAATCCAATGACCTAAACTCCACATCCTTGAGCTTTAATCCTTTTTTTAAACAATAATTTATGTACAACATTCTTATTATATTTCAAATTGAATAAGGAAATTGAAAATTGAATTCAAATTGTAATATTTCAAATTGAAAAAAGAAAAAATGTATTTCTCCTCCATTGCAATTTACTCCTATTGTTTTTAAGTATTTTTTTTTTGTTAAATTCATAAAACTTTTTATTTTATTATATGTTCTATAATAACTACTATATCTAATATATAATAGCTACTATATTCTACTATATTTTGTTAAATTTATAAACAGGGATTTAAAGTAAACATATTGTATTCTATATAACATTTACTGGAATTTTGTTTATTTCTATATGTTTAGATCAACAAATTCCAGAGAATGCAACAGAGGTTTTGCAAACTCCTAATAAAATTAAATGTGGGAAAAATTTGAAAAGGAAAGAATCAGAAAAAGTAAGAATCATTTTAAAATAATTTTTCTATAACTTTTTTAAACTGTTGAAATATATATATATGTATGTGTGTATATGATATTTACAGTAGGGGTGCTCAACTTACGGCCCTCTGACTACTGAAGTACGTCCCATGAGGGCTTTTAAACACAATAGAAAATAAACAAAAATTTTAATTGCACTTTTGAGCCAGCACGTTTTGTTGTGCTAAATTTTTACAGATTCTATAGTAAATTTATGTTTAACGCGCTTTCTTTAAGCCGATTTTATCGTAAATCTAAATGATTATTTAAGCAGTTATTTCTACTTCTCAACATGATTTTGAAAATCCCGAATTTTTATTATTACTACGACATGCGGGTTTCATATCGCCCATTTAAATTAACACTTTTTGGCGCGCTTTATTTGTGCCGATTTCTTCGTAAATCTCAGCTTTTTTTTATTTATTTTTTGCAATTATTTATGTATTTTTCAACCATTATTTCGGCAGTAATTGTTATACATTCCCACATAGTATAAAGAATTCCAATAATTTTATTACGACATGCGAATTTTAAATTGAGCATCTGACACACTTTATTTGTGCTGAATTCAGTATAAATTAATTGATTTTTTTTCTTAGATTATTGCTATACTTTTCCATGGGATTTTGATGATCCCGTTATTTAACTATGATGTTATTACGACTCGCTAATTTCCAATTGCGCATTTAAATAATCACTTTTTGATACAGTATCTTGGTAAATTTTTATCGCAAATCCTAGTTATTTTCCTTTGTTTTCCGGCAGCAAATGTGATTTGTTCAAATACTGAATATTTAGCAAAAAACCGCTGTATATTCGGGGCTAAATAACAAAATTTTTCAGCAGCATAATAACACTGAAACCAAAATTTCAATACTAAGAATAAGATTTCCTGGAAAAACTTTTTCATAAAACAATGCTAAAAATAGGCCTATCAGAAACACTTTTGAAAATGCTGCGCTATCATAAAAACTAAAGATTATATACAAAAGTGAAACGGCGAAAATAAAAATCGATCTTAAGTTTCGAAAAAAAGTCAACATCTCAGTTTTTCAATATAATATGAAAAGCATTCATAAAATAATAATTTAACAACAAAAATTAAAAATACTCAGTTTATTTTTGTAAAACACACCTTGATTATAAAAGCTTAAATGGAAAGTACTTTTTAGGACCAAAAACTGATTTTTGATTTTTCATTACATTTAGGATGTTACAAACAAGAGTATTTTATCTAATAATAATAAAAAAGTTGGTGGAAGCTCCATTGTGGACAATATCATCAAAACCCCTGAAAAGCACCAAGAAAATGAAATTTTGGTTCTAGAAAAGCACCCAAAAAGTCAAAGATCACCCCTAGAAATGCATCAAAAGAATCAAAAATCATCTTTGGAAATGCATCAAAAGAATCAAAGATCACCTTTGGATAAATACCTGAAGAATCAAAGTTCACCTATGGAAAGACTTCAAAAGAATCAAAATTTACCAGTGGAAAAACACCAAAAGAGTCAAGCTGCAAACTGTGAAAGTGACACAGATAAAAAACTGAAATCGACACAAAAGAAACTTCAAGATAAAATAAATGTTTTATCAAAAAAATCTAATAAAGAATTAGATAAAGCATTTTTATCAAAAAATGTTAGTCCAAAGCAGCAATCAAAAGTATTGCCTATTTCCAAAATGCTTTTTGCAAATGATAACAAAAAAGATACTATTAAAAAAGAAAACAAATCTTCTAAAGAAACATTATCAAGCATTAAAAAGAAACCACAGCAAACTTCAAAATCTAAGGTACTTTATTTTTCTTTGAAACCAGTGACAATCATTTGCATGTCTTTTAATATAACTTGTTGAGTAATTTTTAAATAACATTAGTTACAGTAATACAATATTATTTAGAGTTTTCTTTTTGACACATAAGCATCAGGGACTGATGCTAGTACATCATGACTCAAAATTTCGGTGTGCAGTTGTCTGCATTTTTTAACTGAAATTTATTCTTGTTTGAAAATTATTTCATATTCTAATTTTAACCACTAAGGGCAATTAATTTTCTATAAGCATTCATTATTTGTTAGCATTTTGATGTATTAGATTTTGCTAAAAAAATAATAATTATCATAAAATGCAGCTACAAAATTCAGGATTGCTGAAAATGCGGCCTTTTTGAGAAAAGACCAGGGCGGCTGGGTTTTTTTTTTTTTAAATAAAAGAAACTTAGTCTTTATTGACTTTTTAATACTTCATGATTCAAATTTATTTAGTGATTGATATTTAAATTTATTTTATTAATGACTATTCGGTAAAATATGTTATATTACGCATCCAGTGTGAAATATGACAGCAAAATGCAGTACCTTATGATAAAGCGACGCGTTTTAACTTGCTAGCTTGATATTGACGATCAAATATTTAAGGCTAGCAAGTAAGTTTCATCTTTTAAAATTTCATTTAAACTATTTATTGTGCCTCAATGAAGAACAAAATATAAAACAAAAATGCTGAATCACCCTGTTTTACCTATGAAACCGTTTCTTTTTTAGTAATTTAATATTAATGTTATTGCAATAAATATGTTTTAGTTTTTTATTTTCTACATTCTTCTACCTTTCAGTCACTAAAAAGTGTTTTACTATATCTGTTAACATTTTAAATATTGTTCATAACTTTCATGAATGTAAAATATTTCCAAACAAAATTTTAGTCTGACGGTATCATTAGAGCTGAAAATAATCACTACTATAAGTTAAGGCAGCATTTAAAAGATTGTCTTTGAGTTTTTATTTTGGACGCAGCTTAAAAAGTGTGATTAAGAAAATGGACACGGCTCAAAATGTGTGGGTTAAGAAATAGGAGATAGCTATTTCAGAAAATGAACATTGAACTTGATTCTGTTAAAATTTTTGTTTTTGTAAATAAATAAACTAATAGATTTAAATAAGTTCGTGTTGTGCATGTCATCCATTTGTGGAAATTACTTTGTACATTATTTAAAATTAGTCTTTTTTAAAAAGGTTTTTAAAGTCAATTGTTGTTTTTACAAGTTTGTCACAGGTCCTATACATTTATAATAGTGGTATTAAATTAACGTTTCACAAATTTAGATATTTAGAAACTGTTATCATTTAGTGATTTGAATACTAAGAGATTGCTTAAAAAGTTATATCTGTAGTATATCAAGTCATCCTTATCCTGAAGTCCTGGGCTTTGCCTAGTGATGATAATCCTTAGTATTTAAAATGCAAAGAAAAATAAGTATGAAATTCCTTGTTTAGTTGTTAAATTTGAATTGAATATTGAAAACTTGCATTTTTTGCTATCTATTTTCTTAAACATTCTTTTAGAGCAGTGTTCAAGAATGAAAAGCTCACAGACAAGATATTTTCATGTCTTTAATTTGCTGAAGTTTGACATAATTTCTTAAAATAAAATTTGGTATGCAGAAATGTTGTTAATAATTTAAGTTTTGATTTAATTACATCATGTATTACAACTAATGATGATGCTACAAAAATTTTTATCCTATGTTTTTAATTAAAAATTTAAAAAAATATTATTTTTTATCATTAGTTTTACAAATCTAACCATCAATAAAAATAATTTTTTTATGTGCATTCATATAATCTTAGTTTAAAATAAAATTTAAAAATTAGCAGAACTAATTTGATAAAGCACTAAGTTGTATATTTTTATAATATGTAAAATAAAATTAGATTTGAATTAATTTAAATTTTTACTGTACAATTAACTAAACTATTAAAATTATTTTTCTATTTAACTTTGCTTTTTTAATTTTTTTCTTAAGTTGAAATTTATTTTTTTGCTTTTTTGTAAGAGGACACTATATTGCAGGAGATGCGTTTCATGGCAAATTCTGTTTTCACATCCATTGATATAGTAAAAAATAAGTTCTGATAAACCACAAAGTTTCAAATGCTGAAATTTTTTTTTTCAAAATATCAGAATGCAAACAAAAGCAAAATTACTTAGGATTGCACTGTAGGGAAGTTATAAGATAGCAATAAAACTGTGCATGATTATTTGTTCTAAATAATTAATATATTTTCTTTATAAAGTTGGATAATTGGTAACTATAATTAATTTTGTGTTAGTCATATAATTATGCTGCCGTAAAAAAGTTGATATCTAATTGTGGCTCTGATTAAAATTATTGTTTATAATGCTTTTAAGATTAGCTGATGTTTCAAACTGTCTCAAAATTGCAAAGTTGCTGCTCCACATTGTTCCTAATATACAGTCACCTCAATGTAATAATTAAATAATAACCCTTTTTATTATTACAACTTTTAAAAAATACTATGAATAAAAGCTAACTATTTTATTTTAGCAAGTTTTTTTAAGTGGTTTAAATGAAACCAGCTAAAATCTGGAAACCCTGACAAAATTTCCCACTATATATTTTTTAAATTTTTATTTATTTATTTTTTTTTTTTGTTGCAGAATATCGATGAAAAAAAATTAAAGCCAAAAGAAACTACTACTTTCATGAAAATGTCATGAAGTGAATAGGTGATTGCCATTTATCCAAAGGGGACAAATAGATATTAAAACTTCTGACATTTTGTTGACTTTTCTGTTTTAATTACATTGATTAGAAAAGTAAAACGATAAGCAGAAGAAATTTTTTCACTGATTTCTGTCCGCAGTAACACTGAATTATGTTACTTCCAATAGATTTTACATGTATAAATTATGGCTAATGCATTCTGTCTCAAATGAATGTTTTCATTTTCTACAATTATATCATTATTTAGATATTATATGTTTTTATTTACAGCATTTAAATGCAGATTTAATTGGAAAAGAAAATATAATCTACTATTGAAATTAACTTTCAATACCATAATATTTATTGTTAAAAGGGGGGGGGGTCTAATGATTATTATGAATAATCTTCAAATTAGATTAATTATTTACAGGTAATTGAGAGTTTACTGCACACAAATTTTAAATTAATTTTTTTTCTCTCTTTGATATCTGTTAACTTATGTTTTTCAGAAAATTTGCTCAGTGCTTAGCTTAAAGTTTTTCTCAGTATTTTTGAAGCAAAATTTATGCCTTGATATTTGATTCTTGATTTAATGAATCTGATTTAATTAATTAGTTTTAGAACACTCTTTTAGATATATTAATCTATAGTGATACTGTTTAAAATTTAAAAGTTCGAATTATATATTGGTAATTCTTTTAGCTACTGTTAAAATATAAAAAATGCAACCCATTATCTTACTTAAGTTTTCGTTTCATGAACACTGAGAAAAATCTGCCTCCAGAATCTTTAAATCAGGTAGTTATGCATTTCATGTTCTCAATGGTCTGCTATAATTATGGGCCTTTTATATTTCTGACTGTGAAGAAAATACTTATTTTATTTTCTGATAATCGTTATAAATTAATTGCACTCTTTTGTTTCATTTAAAAAAATACGTTTTTGATTATTTTACAGGAAATAAAAACTGTGCAGAAACAAAGACATAATTGTATTCAATGCCAAAAGATATCTATGGCCAACTCTTGTTATTGTAGCTCTGAATGCATAGAAAAGCATGCAACACAGTGCTTAAAATCCATGCGTGAAGCAAGTGGATCTTCAAAGGTTAAATTCCATCTGATGTATATAAATCTATTAATTATAAATGCTTGTATAGCTACACTGTGTGTATCCTTTTCATGGAGTTACTGGAAAAATTCTCTATAAATAGTTTCGATCTATCATGCTTAGCACAGAAATTGTATATATAGCTGAACTGAAGTTTAATTACTTATTGTTATACAGCAAAGGGGCAACTAAATAAAAAAAGCAAAGAATATCCCATTTATTTCTTGAACCAATCTGTAACAATCACAGAGTGTTTCTTGATTCTGAATTATGTCCAGTTATTTCATATGTGCTTACTCTAAGAAAGATTTTTTTCTACTGATATTTATAAATAATTTATTTGAAGACAAATCTTGGGCTTATGCTGTTTTAGCACTTTCCCAAATTTGACTTTATTTTATTTATTTATTATTATTATTATTTTGTATTTTTAAACTGATTTTTACCAGCTTTTATTTAAGATTGCAGTTTTATTAATCAGATCTAAAATGATAATTTTAATTTCTCCTCTTCATACCTATATCGAGTTGGGTGCTGACAGATGATTTGATGTCCAGCTTTTTAAATTGAATCAAAAAGACAGTCTATAGGATGCATGTAGATTAGGAAATGTTTATTTTTCTATTTTTTAAGCCAATTAAATTGATAAACTTAACTTGAAATGAAAATAAAATATGTATACTAAATTATTAAAGTTTTGTAAATTGTTATCAGGTTCTAATATTTCTAAATTTTATTTAGACCTTAATCAAGAGCATAAATAAAATAAAAAATTCATAATAAGATCTATACTCAATTTTTTTCATTTGTATTAAATCTATTATTAGTAAAATTCATTATTTACATACCTTATAGATAAATACATTAAATCATTTTTGATGGAAGTGCTAATCCAAAAGTTAAGCATTCTATGAAATTTGTTTTTTTTATCAAAATTAAATTGGATAAGATAGAGAGGTGTCTCGATTGTATTTATAGATAAATATTAGGTTCTACTTAAAAGTAATTTATTTTTCTGGGAATTTTTTTTTTCAGTTAAGTTTAGGTTTTATTATTTCACAATTATTACCGAACTATTGATTTCAAAATAAAGTTTCCATTTTAAAATTAAATTAATATTTATATAAAATTTAGGCTTAAATTTTCCATTCCTCACAAGACTACAGATTATTAAAACATTTATGGATGGCAAGTTAGGAATATGTGCTTGTCATGTGAATAGCTGATTCAGTCTATTTTGAGTTGATCAAGTGGTTTAAGGTGGAAAAATTTAGTATTGTGGTATCACATAATTGTTAACATCTTTTCTGCAGTTTATTAAGGGAAAGTTTTGTTTCTTTTTAAAATTTATAGTTTTATATATATATATATATATATGTTACGGACGGGGAGTCTCGATGAAGCTTCAAAGCAGTCTAGGGTTGCGTTTTAAAGCTTTTATTATGACAAAAAACACTTAAATGACAATAGAAAATAATTAGAGCTGGAACATCTTAATGAGCTCGCTCCCCGTAGCCGTTCAGTGAGTGAATGTAGAGGGAGTCTGCTCAACTACAGGTGGCGCTGCATGGCGTATGCAACATATATATATATATGTATGTATATATTCTAAACTATATAATGGAAAGAGACTTAGCTGGTCTTGTTTCTGCAATAGCCCACCTTTGTCCAAAGAACACCTATGGCAAAATAAAAAGCTTCTCTAACTTTTATGTAACATAAAAATGTAAATTTTTTATGAGTATGTTTGATTTTAAATTTCATGAAGTGATGAAAATGTGTTTTTTTATTTTTTATTCAGGTACAAGATTGGGATTCTCAGAGATTAGTTGTTTTTGACCGTTATAAAGGGAATGTTGTAACTGGAGATAAAGGACCTAAAGCTGGAGAAATTATATCTTGGCTGAAAGAAAATCCGAGCTTTATGATTGCTTGCTCTTCCTCATCAATGACAGCCTCTAAAAAAGACAATAGTAAGTAAACAATTTTTTCGATTACATAACTTGCAGTCTTTATATTTTTAATCTTAATTCTTTTTAAATTCTGAAAAAAATTAATGGACTGTTTGCAACAACACCATAACTGTTTTATCTTTTAACAGCATGTATCAGAAAAATCAGAATGTTTGTCAAAATTTGTTGTAGCATTTGGGACGACAAAAACCTGTGCTATTGTGTGCCACTGGAATTTCTGGATCATTTGCAAAATTTATGCTCAACTTTCATATGTGTTAAGTTCATAATCAAAATTAAAAAATCGTCTGTGTGCTTTAATTTGTAAATTATTTTTTCTTGAATTACTTGATAATGAACTGTCTAACTCTCACACTTATAAAATCTTTCATAATAAATACAACATTTGTATTTTTAAATTAAATACTTACTCTAAATTAGAGAGAAAAAAAATTAATCTTTGAAATTTAGATTTATTACATGGGATATTGATAAATTCATAAATGAGCATTTTCAAATCTTGGTCAGATATAAAAATTGTTTTTATGATATGGTATTTCTTACATATTAAAAATAATAAAACAGTTCATGTCACTTTGTTAACACCTTTGTCACATTGTTAAAATTCATCCTCAGGCTCCACCTCAAAGATCCATCTACAGGTGCCTGGTCCCGCAGCACTTTGCAGAACCCTCCACCCCATAGACTTCAACCCTGGGTTTAATCTCTGAAGACGCCATAAAAAGGTGCTCTGATCAGAGAATTGCTCCTTTGTTTTGAAAGCAACCTTCACGGGCTTGGGTAGCTTGGTAGCGGACCAGAGACTCCTACAGAAAAAGGGCCTGCACCTTTGGACGCCTCACCAGCTTCCGAAGTAGACTGCAAAGCAGCGGTATTAGCACTGGGCTCACCCGAGGGCTTACCATATGCTACTGGAGACTGTATAAGACTTTTCGAACAGGAACCTCTGCCTAATTCCTGAACGCATCCCTTGTTGACCGGCGCGACGGATGATGCCGTATCAAAGGCTTTTTGATTACTCATCATGTGTGTTTGCCTGCCATTTAGTTACCCACTGAGGGGTATCCAGAGGGCACCACATGGAGGCAGCAGGCATTACCCCCCAATTAAATGTTACTATGTGGGAATGTTAACAAACTAATACTGATTATGTTTTTAATGCTACAGTACTTTAAAAATTTCTATATATTCATCTGAAATTATTGAATATTTCTTTTTGTATACCCTCTTATTTATTACTAAAAATATGGCAAAATCTTTCGTGTAATTTTAGGAAATTTCCAATCTAATTTTAATTTAGTAGAAAGTCCCATATCCAGAATCTTCCAGACTTTGGCAAGTTAGGAGAGTGGATTTTTTGTGTTATTAGGTTTTAAAGGTAAATAAACATCAAAATATTCTTCATGCAATTTTAAAAAAAATAACAAGTAGACGGTAATTAATGTTAATTTCATGCAATAAGCTTTCCTTATAGGTTGAATGACCTTTAATTAACTAAGGAATGTTTAGTATGATAAAATGTATGTAAAAAAAAATGAAGTGAGCAGACAATAATTTGATTTTTTTTCATTAATAAAGACAGGACTTTTTCCTTTTTAACAGTAATGTGAAAAATTAGCAGTGCATATAATCAGATAAAAATGACAATACAAAATGAGCCTCAAATTCCAAAAGTAACTAATATGATTCAATAAAAAAAATATGAAACAAAGAACAGAGTTTAGTAGATTTTTTTAATGAAAACTTTTAGAAGCAAAACTTATTTACAAAAGAAACAAAACTTATTTACTGATGTTCATTTCAAACACTATTAATATTCATAGTTTATTAGTCTGGAGTATAGACATTTCCAATAAATGGATATCCTGATATGGGATTTTGTACTATATATAAACTCTAGCATTTTAACTCTTTCTTTTTTTAGTGCCTTGTTTGTTATATAATAAGTGTAAAATAATTTTTTTATTTTCAGAAAAAGAATGTGATTCTAGTTCAAATATAGAAAAAGCAGCTGCCAAAGTTAATGATGTACGAATGAATGTTAAAAAAACATTAAAAAATATATTGATGGACAGGTAAGTTAAAACAAAGATTTCATACCTTTATCTTTATTTCAATGCGAAAACTTAAAGAATACTTTTTTCCTAGGAACATATATGGTGCACTAAAAACACTTGATGCCTTTTCAACTTTTATTTTTTAATTTATTTAGTTATTTCATTAAGCATAACTTCTTTTTTTTCCCTTCTGTTTTGGCAATATTTTATGTTTGTAAATATACTTTGGAACAATGTGTACTTTAATCTCAGTAGATAACAGGTGCAATTCTGTTTGATTTTTGTTAAAATTTGAATTGATGAATTTTAATCTGACTTTCTATCTGATTTATTATATTAAATTTTTAATATTTTTTTTTAATTAACCTTTAAATTATGTAACATACCTGCCAACTCGTCCGGATTTTCCTCCTTTTTCTGTTTTTCCGGGTATGAGCAAAATCTTCCGGATTTGTCCCAAGTTTTTGGATAAATAATAAAAACTCACCAAATTTAGCGCTTTCGTGCCTTTTGCGGAACGATGCTCTAAAATGTGCGCCGAAATTGTCTGTCTTTTCTCTAGTAATAGATGGAATCACTGACAATATGGATTCTTAGCTTTATCCCATTGTTGTGACTTACAACCTTGCTGAATCATCAAAAATTCAATCCAGGATTTTGTCCTTAGTGGAACTAAGTCTTGATTTGACTGGGAGAGACATATCCAACCTTATTTTGGATGAACTGGAGCATTTGAAGATACCTCTGACAAACTGCATAGCATTTGGCTGCAGTAATGTTAGGGAAAAAAAATGGTGTGATTTCTTTTCTCAAAGAAAAGCACGAAAATTTAGTTATAATGGGATATTTGTGCCATTTAATTAATTTGGCTGCAGAAAAAGCAGCTGCAACATTGCCTGTTGATGTTGACCAAACTTTAGTGGATATATTTTACTATCTAAAAAAAAGTTGTAAGAGGAAAGAGAAATTGAAGTTATTTCAAAGTCTTCACAGTGAAGAAGTGAGGAAGATATTGAAGCACGTCTGCTCTCGATGGTTGTCCTTGGGGAGATCTCTGTTCAGAGTAATAGATCAATGGGATGCATTATTGACATATTTTCACGATGAAGTGAAATCAAAGACTTTAACATCTTCATCTTTGGCTTTAAAATCCAAAAATGAGTGAAAAGGTGCTAATGACAGAAAGCCAAAAAAGGCATTCAGAGAAAGAGGAAGGCACTTCTAATAAGAAGCTCAAAACAAATGAAGGAACCTCTAAAAATCTGAAAATGAACGAGTTTACTCCCAAAACTTCTGTCAGCAGAGAAGAAAAATTTTTTCATTTTTTATCTTCAGATTTAAACAAAGCTTATTGCTTATTTTTATTGAGTGTAATAACGGATTTTGAAAAGCTCAATACTATATTAACAGTCATCTTCCCCATTGATACATGTTTTGAATAATATGTTAACAGATTTCTTAAAGAACTTATTTCTGAAATTCATTAAACCTGCTGTTATTAAAGGGCAAGCCCTTTTAGAAATTCAATATCATATTGAAGCTAATCAATTGCTGGATTCAGAACTGTTTGTTGGATTCAAAACGGTAGAACTAGTTAAAAAGTTGAATGAAAAAGAAAAAAGAAAATTTTATTTGTCAGTAAGGAATGTTTATGCTACCTCGTGTGATTATATCATCAAAAAATTTCCCATTAATAACGATATCTTGCAGACTTAAAAAATATCGAAACCTCATCATTTGAAAAAGTAGCATATTTTGTTAAAAAGTTTCCTTGTCTTTTGATGGTTAAAGAAGGAGAAACCAAAGAAGATGCATGAGACTGCCTCCAAAAACAGTTCACTGCATTGCAGATTGAAGATTCTTCCAACTTTAAAGGCAGCACCATAGATATGCAATTAAATGAACTGAGTACTGTTAATGACTACAGCGGACAGCTTAAATTTGACCGAATATCGAGAGTGTTGTTGGGAATCACTTGCATACCCCAAATCAATGCGGAGTGAGAAAGAATATTTAGTGTTGTGAAGAAAAATAAAACACAGTTTCGGTCATCTATGTCTACAAAAACTCTCGAAAATATTCTTACGATGAAGTGTCAAACAAACAAATTGTTTTGATAATAAGTTTAGTGCTGATGTTTTGAAAAAGGGCAAACGTGCCACTTCATCAATAGTGAAAATTTAGATTCAAAAAAATATTTTTTTTTAATAATCTTGCTTAAATGTCTTACATCTGTTTTTCATGATCATGCTTACCCTTTAGTTTTAAAGCTTGATATTAATTTTTTTTTTTTAAATTTCATGCATTGCTACATAATTTTATTGTAAAACTTTTAACTAAATTAACCTTTTCTGAAATTATTAAAGCAATTAGTTCTTTAATTTTAGTATAGTGTCCATGATATCAATATTATATATTAAAAAGTAAGTTTTAGTTAACCCCCTGATGGATGCAACTTGTTTTAGTTATCCATGCTTAATTAAAATGTTTTGAAGCATTCTTGGAAGTGTGAATTTTTTCCTTAATTTTAAAAATATGGTTGGAGTCCTGTGTTAACCTATTATTTATAAATCATTTTTCTTTTATGGATTACATATTTTTCCCATTATGGTAATTTCTGAAAATAACTATATTAACTAAATCATTTCTTTATAAACATATTCTAAATTCTATTTTATTGATTTTTTTTATTGTGTTCTCCATATGATATATGTATAACAAAATGAAAATTAATTATTGCACGAAGAAGTAGTTATTGGATATATGTATATATTGTGTGAAGCAGTTTTTAAGGTTGTATAATAAATATAAATTCTTGCTTTGAAATTCTTGCTAGCTCTATCATTCACTTCATAGATTAATATACACTTATGGTGTGGTACAATTCTTTATAATGTTTACAATACAAAACTGATTTTAGTATTGTAAATTAGATATTCTCACTCTCAGATTAAAAAAGGAGGTTTTTGATTATCAGTTCTCAAATTTTGCATTCAAATTTATACCGTATAAAATCTTCTGGATTTTTTTTCTTGGAGGTAGGCAGGTATGATGTAAGCACTCTAGCTTGTGTAAATTTTTTGATTTAAATTTTTATAGGCAACTCAAGTTTAAGTGGATAAATTGTGGCAACAGCTGTGGGTTGCATTATTTGTTGCTATTTGATGGAATAAGCAGTGTGATGATGAGATTTTTTTTCTTCTAAATTTTGATGAGAATAATAATGAGCAATTAAGTTGATCCCCTGTTCAGCTAGTTAAGTTGATTAAGCTAGTTAAGTTGATCCCCTCTGATCAGCTCTCTAAGTTGATATTAACAATCAAGTACCAAACTGTTAGAAACAATCAAACCCTCTTATTAGTTGACCATTTGTCTACGTGAACTATCAAGTTGTTATCCCACAAATGGTAAACTAACACATGTTTCATTGTTTGTATTAATACTAGATTTAAAATGTAAGTTTCTTAAATATGATAATGAAAAAAATCATTAAAAATGCTCACATTATAGGAAGCTTTCCTCAGATGAGTACATAAAAGAACAAAATGAAATAATGCTAGAGTGGTAAGCCTACACTGAGAGCAGAAATACATCTTAAAAGTGGTAAAATATTATTGCATGAAGCAATAATATTTTACCCTGGCAATTCTTAAGAAGATTTATGATATCCAGATTTATATTGTTGCAATCTTAATGTTAATGTAATGTAATGTTGTTGATCTGCAACTTTTAGACTATGGTGGAGAATTATTGGCCAAGACACCTGTTAGTTGAAGCAACAAAGTTGACAATGTTCAATATAAAGCACTGAGACTTATTACCTCTGCAACCTGCATCACACCTTTCACTGCTTTTGAAATTCAAACTGTTCTTGTGCTGTAGAGAGAGACAACTCTTATAACAGTTTGTGAGACTTCCTCTGCGACACTGGCAGAGACTTTTTCTGACTGAAAAAAAGACTAAAGACACACCAATCTTTCTTCAAAAAAAGGAAGAAACCTTATGTCCAAATATAAAATAACAAATTTCCCCTATCAAAATTTTTGCCTTCAAGAGATTTTCCCATCAACTTTCAGAATCTCGAGTATAACTCTCTATTTATACTCAACAAAGAAATAGTTGAATTCCATGCCAACTGAAACCAGTAGTGAATTTTTAAAGTTAAAGCAACGTCTTTGTATTTGGCATAATTTTAAAGGAAATTAGTTGTAATTTATGAATTCAGCAGTTATTCTTTAGAGTTATGCATGATTATAGTAAAATTTATCATAAATAGAGAGCATTCATGATTTTGACTTATTGTACTAATAAAACTGTCTATTTTAAAGAAGAACAAGATATTAAAAATATTACGATTGGTATATAGTTTGATTTATATTGTAAAATAAATTGTTCCTAAGTCTAATTGTGGGGTGATTTCCATCAAAAAAAAATTTTTTTTCATAATTTTTAAATCAGAAATTATCTTAACTATATATTTGTCCCCTTTGTTACAATTAAAGTTTATTTCATTCATTACACAAAAAACCTTCTTACTTAATATTTGGTTTTTACAATAAAGTCTGTTAGTACAATCATGTTATGTTGTATTTTTTAAAAATTTTAAAGTTTCTCATTTAACAGAGGGGATGTAACCAAGGACAAAACTAACTGTCCCCTCAGTTACGCAAAATTGATAAGTTGACCATTAAAAAGGAACTCCAGAAATGTAAACAAGTGCTAATGCATTCTGATTCAACTAGTTTAAACCAGTTCCTCCACTATTGGAGCACACTTTTTATACAAAGCTCTGCCATTTTCATTTGATACAACAAACATTTGTTATACAACAAATTTCAAGGCATTTCAGCATTGACACGAAAAGTATTCAAAAGTCAATTACTAAAGAAGTTAAACCTGGGAAATCCTGGGAAACAAAAAAAATTAAGGAAATTTATCACTGTCAGATAGCCTCTTATCTTAGGAGTTATATGATATCCTCTTTGGATTTATTAGAGAAAGAAATTATCAATTCTGAATACAATTCCAAAAGGCCTGGTGTTTTACTGAGTGGTATTGCCATGTTCTTAAATTCTGTGCATCGCAAGAGGTATTGCCACATTTCCTATCAAGCCATGGGGAGGAGTTGGAGAGAGTAAATCTATTAATTGGAATCAGCTGGTGAAGTGACGTAGAAATACAAAGGTCTATTTGGCACCATATGACTTTAGTTAGATAATATAGGTGCACATGCGCGTATACATTGGTGATGATTCTCCAGTTTTGCAGACACTTTTTTAATATTTATTGTAACATAAGAAAGTATCTGCGTGAGCAAAAAAAAAAGTTTGCAGTGGGGGGATGCGAAACAGTCTGCATAATCATGATTTGCGCAAGGTAGAAGAAAGTCAGTGTTTAGTTGTATGCATGCTGCTCTGAAGGAGAAAGGATATAACTACCTCTTTAGCCCAAAGACTAGCGATTCCATTGTTAGCAGTCAATCCTACAATCAGCTGATCAGAGATATTTGACTCAATTCAACTTAACTATCTCTTTACAGCGAAAATAGACAATTGCGAGGACGGCAGGAAATCTTTTAATGTAATTTATTTTGGAGCAAAATGGAAAACAAATCAATGAGTATGGGTGACCTAGATTCAATGGTTGAGTAGTTACTTAAACTTGATTGAAAAATGAGTTGCAAAAAAAAAAAGGAAAGATCTTTTTTTCTTGATAACGCAACATCTGACCTTGAAACACTTGATTATAAACATAGATGGGTCAAATAAGGAAAACGTTAAAATTGATGTCCTACAAGCTTCTTTGTGTATAATAGCCATCTGGAAAAAGTAAAAAACTCAACCATTTTATGATTTTTCTCAGGCAGGCTTCAAGAAGAATTCACCAGAAAGCAATACCATTGCATATGTCATAGATGATATAAATTCTTATGATCCGGTTTCTGAATTAACAAATTTGATTAGCTTAACTGGAGAAAGTGTTATAAATGGTGATGATTTTGTAAACATTGAGCGAAATATTGAATGTAAAAAAAAAGGATTTAAATATGGACAAAATTGTTGAAATGTTCGAAATAATGATGTTAAAAGTGAAAGTGAAGAAACTGATACTCAATTGAGGCTTTCTGAAAACAAACCAAAAGTGATAACTTCAAGTGATGCTCAAATTTGTATTCAGGAACTGAAACATCCAACAAATATCTATCTAAAAAGGATGAAATTGGTATGAAAGTGCTATATGTAAAAATGTACCTTGAAGATATGGTAAGTCGCAGCTGCTTAAAACAAACTTCTGTCTCATCTTTCTTTTCAACTGGATAAATACAAAACAAAAGCATGTATCAGATTTCTTAATCTACTCTTTTTGTATGGTAAATATTATAATTTCATTGGAGTTTAAATAAACATCAATGTAAATAGTGCTTACAGATTATTTAATTATTTCTATATCATTTCAAATATTCTATAAGCAATTTATGGCATGAACTTTAGTTATTAATGTACCCTTCTGCGAAAAGGATATTTCTCATAAATTTTCAATTTTTTCGGTTCTAAAAGTTTTTATTTAACCAAGGCTTCCCTGTGTGTGTATATATATATATAGTGTAACGTCCCATATCCGGACGTCCCTTTCCCGGAAGGGTCGATTTCCCGGACACTTTTTAATAATCAAAATAAACAAACATCTCTCCATCATCCCCTTTCCTTTAAAAAAAAATTAAATAAATAAAAAAAAACGAAGTCTTTTGACACATTTTCTCTTTTCAGCATCAAACCCATAAATCACCAGAAAGGGGAAGTGAAGATCTACCAAGACCATTGAGTAACCGTTAGTGGCGCTCCTCCATTGGAATGTAGGAAAAAGAGGGAGATTTGTTTTCAAAAGACCGCAACTGAGTCCCCCCCCCCCCCTTTCCCATGCAGGTGGCTAGTAAAAGAGGCATTTCCTGGAACATTTTTATTGAAAGAAGAAATACTGTGGAAAAGGGTAAACGGGGCAAGCGTTAAGGTGGAGGGGGAGTCAAAGTGGAAAATTTGAATAGGTCTAAAAGGATATACGTCCTTGAGAAACAAAACATTCGTTCTTTTCCATACCATGTAATATTTAGGAGGAGGGGGAAAAAGGGGGTAACATTCTCTCTTTAGCAGATTCTTTCAGTCATAGAAGAAAAAATAAAGAGAACCCGATCAGCGTGCCCCGCCTTTATGCTTGATTGATAGCCAATGATTGGAGAGAAAACAATAATTTGTTACTTCCCCACCCTCAACTTAAATGATCTCCTCTTTACACTTATTTTCTTTCACAAATAAGGAGGAAATGAATTTTTCTCCTCCACCTACCCACCTTAATGAATGACGGGAATTTCCCTTTCTTGCTTGAATCATTCTAGTTAAAAATGGCGGATTATTATTTTCATATGTCAATTTTTTTTCGTTTTCTATATTTTAAGCAATAATATTTTTTTTCTAATATTTCATATTTTATTGATTAGATATTCTAATACTAAAACATTATTCCCCTTAAAAATAATGTTTATTTATTTTTTGCTTCTTAGATTTAGATCATTTTAAGCTTTGTTCCAGAATGACATGAATTTCCCCTTCCTGCTTGAATCGTTCTAGTTCAAAATGGCGGATTAATATTTTCATAACTGTTAAATTTTTTTCGTTTTCCATATTTTCAGCAATAATATTTTTTTTCTAATATTTTATATTTGATTTAGATATTCTAATGCTAAAACATTGTTCCCCTTAAAAATAACGTTTATTTATTTTTTGCTTCTTAGATTCAGATCGTTTATTAAATCATTTTAAGCTTTGTTTACCTTGGGGGTCTATTATACGGAAAAATCTATTATACGGACTTCTGGAAGTCCCACCGATTCCGGATACGCGACTTTACACAGTATATATATATATATATATAAACAAAGAAAACAATGCAAGAAACAAAAAAATAGGAAAAAAAATTAATTACGATTATAAATTTTAATGACAAAAAGATATAATCTCGTCATCAGCTCTCACAATTAAATCTGCAAAAATAGTGCTTTCTAAACTTTTATTATTATAGCAAAAGCAAATATATTAATTCAATAACATAAAAAAAAAGATGAAAAAGGATAGAGAGACCGATTCGATTAAAACTTAATAAATCTTTATTAAGTTTTAGTTTAAAATAATTTCATTCTTCATTAAAATTAAAATAATTTCATTTTTTTAATTTCATTCATTATTGTCTCATATATGTATATGCTTTTTTTACAGGTGTAAAAACTCTGGTGACATAATATTACCAGAAGAAGAAATTAGGAAAATCGCCGTCAAGATTGAGGGGGAACTTTATGCTCAGTTTAAGGATACAAATTTAAAGTATAGAACTAAGTATAGAAGCCTCATGTTTAACATAAAAGATCCCAGAAATCAAGTAAGAACTTTATAAGTTTCTAAAAAAAATTTTAATTGGCGAACAAGAAACCACGAGTCTGTTAAAAAAATTAATGTATTATAAAAATTTTTAACAATTAATTAATCTTTTTTAAAACATTAAATGTCTGAAATTGTACATCAAATAATGCAGTGACCAAATCTGACATAATCCGAAACATTTGTATTCCTATTCTAATCTATATTATACTTTTTCAAAAAGTATGTTAATTATGCAACTACATTCGTGTCAAGAAGCTGCTATAGTGTTTACACCAATGCTGCTAATTCTGTGTAGAAATATATCCCTTACAAGCACATGTATATTAAAAAGAATAATTTGAATCATCAACATATTCTGATCAACTTTATCCTCGGGTTTCAGTTGTCTCTTAAAGTGATAATGAGTATTTATTGTGCAGTTGGGTGAATGTAATCTATTTTGAAAAATAACAATTTCTGCTCAAATGTTTAATAAAAAAGGAATTAGGCAGGTAATGAAAGATTATATGTGTGGAAAACTACCAAAAAAAGGTGATCTGACGTTATATGACAACTAGAGATGAATCACTTTGTTAAATGTATGTAGCAAAATTTTCTCTAAAATAGTACTGGAGAGAATGAAAAATGAATATGACCAAAGCCTACGACCAGAGCAAGCCGGTTTCAGTGTGTGTTAAGGGATGTGACATTAGGGATTATAGTCTAACTATCTATTGAATGGCGTTCTATGATATATTTAAATTTCATAGATTTTGAAAAGGCTTTCTACAGTTTCACAGAAATGTTCTGGAAGATTTTAAAGTACTATGGAATTTTCGAATGTTTTGAAGCATACAAGTATGAAGTATTTGAATATACAAGTTATCCATGCCAACTATCAGAATCTTTGATTTGGGTGTTAGACAGGGTTGTATGCTTTCTCCAACAATCTTTTTAATTTCTATTGATTGGATCATTAAAAGAGTACCAGAGAATAAAAAGGGTATAAGATGGAACCTTGCTGAATATCTTTCTGATCTTGATTTTGCAAACGACTTATGTTTACTGACTAACACCCTTCAAGACTTGCTAACAAACACAAGCATTTTAAATGTAAAGGCAAAGAAAATGGGGCTCATTATCAATCAAAATAACTCTAAAATTTTGAAAATTAATTTTAAACAATTAAATGACATATTTTTGGAAAATGATAAAATAGAAGTAAGCAGTTTTACATATATTGGAAGCATAATTAACAACAAAGAAGGCACTGATAAAGACATACTAAATACATTAAACAAAGCCCAAAGCAGTTATACTATTCTCAAGAAACTCTAGAAAAACAAAAAACATAACAAATTCAACAAAAATTAGAATTTTCAATACTAATGTTAAATCTGTCCTACTATATGTATCTGAGACATGGCATTGCAATAAAAATAACATGAAAAAACTTCAAATATTTATTAACAACTGATTAAGAAGAATCTTGCGTATCAAATGGTTCCATAAAATTTGTAATGTTGAAATCCTTAGAAAGCATAATAGAAACCAAATACTGTATTTTCTGGTGAAGGCACAGCATCGTCGCAAGCACCGCACATCGATTAAATTTTTAAAAAGTTATCGTAAGCGCCGTGCATATCACCATCCTTATAGAAGAGACCTTTAAATTTCAATTTAGAATATCTGTATAATAAAAAAAAATTATACTTTTCATAAAGTAGAGTTTTAATTTCTAAATTATAAAAAAAAATTCCGTTAACAGGTCCACTCATTTACTGTTTAGGCAAGGCTGGACTATATCACTGTTGATACGGGTTAATTTGGAATGAGCCTGCTTAGTAAATAATCCCTATAAATGGTCTGAAAATAATGTTAAGTACAAGAAAATATTTTTAAATACCGCAAATAACGTAGTTTCTAACTTATTTGGGGGGAGTGAATGGCCTAAAATGCATTAAAGAAGAGTTTGTGTGAAAAAAGTTTTCATTTTCAGCAACAAAATGTATAAAATAAAGTTGTTCTTACCAGTTGGCACCGCACCTAAAAACAGAAGAGCAAATAATTAACATCAAAAAAATATTTATATGCTCAGTGGCACCGATAAAAACCTTGTGTTGGGAGGGTCAGAGTTTGAGAGAAAAAGGTTGGAGAATCTCAAATTTTAGCAAAGCACTAATGAACAAAATAAAGAAATGCAAGTTGGAAGAAACTGATCAATCAATCTTGACAGCAGTGCTTGTGCTCTACTGGTTTGTGCCCACATTTTCCTCTCCTGTTTGACCATAAATTGGCCACACCCAGTTGACATTGAAACTACCACATGGGATACAAAATGAATTCTATCCCTTTTGCGTTTTTTTATATTCGATTGATTTATTTTTCATTTTGCGGCTTTTTTTTAGTACAGTAGAGAACCATTTATCCGGTTTCCAGAAAACCGGGGGAAATTTTGCTTGGTTTTCCCGTCATTTTAAACTAGAACGATTATGAAAAAAAAGCGAAAATTGAACTCATCCTTGAAGTTGAGTAGAGGAAAATGTGAGGAAGGGGGAAACATCATTTCTTTTGTGACCTTGAAGATCGAGAGGAGGCAGGGAAGGGACAAATGTTTTATTTTCTCCTTTAACTCAAAGGATTAACTCCGTCAATCGAACTCAAAGGAGTGGCATGCTGATTTCGTTTTCTCTTTGATTTACGAGGGGGTGGGGAAAATGCATTGCACATGCATATCAGTGAACAGAGGATGAAAGAGTAAAATATATTTATATATTTGTCATCGATTAATAAAAATAAAATCTTTTCTTTTGAATAAATTCTGATTCTTTGGAAGTGCAGTATCATTTGCAAGTTTTTCTTGATGTGGAATCACATTTGCTTTAAATAAAAATCGTGTTTTTATTTAAAAAAAAAGAGAAAAAAAAGGAGAATTGTTTATTAATTCAAACATACGATTATTTTATGAAGCATATTGCAGTTATGTTTTTATAATTCCACAACGTTTGATTTTTTTTTCTTTTTATTCATAAATTTTATCATTAGGTTTTTTTAAAATTCCGTTGATCTTTTTAAACTTGCCTTGTTTCGGGTTTTAATATTTATGCTAGTGTCTTTTTTAACTATCGTTTCTGGTTTGATATTTTCAACCGGAAACCGATTTTTGTGCAGAATTTTGGCGCAAAATTAGGCCAAAGTTATTTTGCAGCATTTTTGGGGGGAAAATGGCATTTTGGAGAAATTTGAGCAACTGTTCCAAGACTGCATATAGTAATTTATTATTTTTCTATAAGCAGACGTACCTTTTTTTTGTTTATTACATTTCATTTAAATTCGCAAGTTAAATGTTTTTTTATTTGTCTGAAAAACTTCTCAGTAAATACAGGACTATGAAACACTAAGAATTTAAAAATTAAACAGTGAAAACAATTCATGACATCTATTGACAGAAAAGATTTCATTAAGAAAAAGGTACAGCTGCTCAGCCGCCTCACAGCTGGCAATGTCATGATGGACTTGAAAGCTGCAACCAGCTGTGAGCAGGTTCTGTAAACCAATAGATTAATAATTAGATCTTAAGTAGAAGAGAGTTTGCAGTATTTAAAGGTTGTTATTTAAATACATAAAAAGAAAAAAAGATTCACAAAAATATAAAAATAGTTTGAATTATGAAGAATGTAAATATAAATTTAGTAGAAAGAAAGCACTTTAAAACAACTAACTTGAAATCCTTAACAAAAGGCTCAAATAGCTTAGATATGCTAGCAGCGTCTTTGAAACCTTTTAGAGCTGAGATAAGATCCAAAAATTTTTTCCTATTGTAAACTTCCATCTCATAAAATATGGCACGAGTTTCAGGATGATCTTTATTACGTGATAAGCCATGCACATGTATCCTGAAATAAAAAAAAACTGCTTTTAAATATTGGATTAAAAATTTCTGAATATTTTGTCCATACCTTTTAAGTATTTTGTGCAAATGAAAAGATTAGAAAAATATATATGCTTATATATTAATATTACTATTAAAGTTAAAAATTATAAAACAAAACATTCCATTTTTTAATACTAAACTTATAGAAAGTGCATTTCACAATACTTTACATTAATAAAATGAAAGTTGTTAAGTAGTTGTTAGGTGTTGAATTTGTTCAAAAAGATGGTGAGATGTTAATACATCAAAAGAGTTACATCCAAAAAGTTTGTGAAATGTTTTCTAGCTTTAAATTTCCTTTGTCATCGTTGCCGATTACTAAGGGTAACTTATCAAAAGCTGACTGTCCATCTTCTAAAATCGAAGTGGATGAAATGAAAAAATTACTGTTTCGGAGCATTTTGGGTTGTTTGGCTTGTATAGCTAATCGCACTAGACCGGATATATTCTATGCGGTAAATATATTATCACAATTTCAAGAAAACCCAGCTTTAAAACACTGGAATACTTTATTAAGATAATTAGGTTATGTTCAAAATACTCAAGATTGTTTCTTAAAATTGTAAAATATTGAAGAATTGAATGGAGGGTTCCCGCGGCCTTGAAAAAGCCTTGAAAAGTACTTGAATTTCATTTTGATTTTCAAGGGCCCCTAGAAGTACTTGAAAATGATATTAAATCCTTGAAAAATTCGAAATGACCTTGAAAAGTTTCGAAAACTCAGGAAAACAGCCCTATTTCCAGTATTTCTATGTTTAACTTTTTGACGCGCGTAAGTGTGAGAGAATGACTTCCCCGTCTTTCAGATGATGACACGTACTGTTTGATTTTAGGATTTTATGTATGTTTGGCTGATTTTAGGAATTTTAAATATTGGGAACTGCGCCAGATTCTGA